AGGAAAGCAGTAGTTCCGGGAAGAACAGCGCAGTTAAGTGCAATAAAGAGACGACCCACGCGAAATGTTTAATGTAGTGCACGAAATTGAATGAAAAGCTCGGCTAATAGCGAGATAAACCGATTCCTAGAACAATCACGTCGTTGATATGCAACTTCCGAGAAGGCGGCTCGGTTGAAATATCCAAAACAGTGTCATCACGCAAATGAGCCGGAGCAAGACATAAATTCGGTGCAGCCCACCAGCCCAAGGGGAAACCGAGATTGTCGTAAAAATAAACTGGTCTCTGCTTTTCATTAGGAGGCTTGTGAAGAGCATCAAGCTGGGGCGTATCCGAGGGGCGGAATGTCAAGCGGGGAGTTACTTATCAGTGATGTTCTCTTTTCAATTCTATTCCTCAAATGAAGCCAAACAAAGAAAGGCGGGTTGAAAAAAAATACTGCATTGGCCTTTTTTTAGATGCTTAAATGAAAGTGACCCGGCTAATTTTATTCTGATGGCTGCCAAACTTAAACAAATGTGAAGAAAAGAGAGAATAAAAACAAGGATACCCTAAATTAAAATGAAAATGTGGCTAATTGGACTAAAATAATGAGTTTTCAAAGACAGATATTAAAAAATAGATGGATAAAGTTGATATCTTGTGATCGTCCAATGGAGTTGACAAAAAAAATATATGATACGTAATACTAACTTTACTTTAAATTTTTATAATCATAATTAACTTTGTTGCATAATATATAATAATTTATTATTTGATAGATATTTCATTTTCTCATACTCGGCCAAATTTAAACCCGCCGCTAATTCGCCACTCGCGTTCAGCGCAAAAGTAATTATTTTTTTACGTTTAAAGACTGCGAAAATTTTAAATTTTAAGAATTCAAAATTTCACCTTTGGTAGGTAATAAAAAAATTGTATTTTGGTATTCTTATACATATTAATTAGAAGCGGAATAATTAACGTTTCCGCACAATTATTTTTCATTACTTATTAAATAAATATGTACACTATAATTTAAAAATAAAAATTAATCTCTATATAAAATGTGTCGATGTAGAATTGGAAATTGATGTCTTCATAATATCTTGCTGCTTTCAACAGTTCGTGTACGAACAATATAGAGTATGTATTCGTGTATTTGCAAAAAGGAAAGTTGATGAAAGAAACTTCGGAAGTGAGTCGATGTATCTCCAAAGAAAAAAAAGCGTGCAATTCATGAATCCCAGCACGAAAGAACCTTCTTCTTTAGTTTTCTTTTCCATTATTTGTGATGCGTCTTCGTGCCTCCTCAATTTTCCCCTCTTGCCGTAACCGGAGAGGATAGATTCAGCGTAGGCGTGAGACCGAGAAGAAGAAGTAGAGCCGGTTGCATAATATCCTGTGGCTGTCGGCAGTGTGAGAGAGAGCCGTAGTGGGTGAATAAGTGAATGAACACGATCCGCCGATGGAGGCGGGATGGAGCAAAGGTGCTCGGATAAATTTGTGAATAAACGATCAAGAAGTGCTCGAGTGAGTCAGTCGTCTTGGAGACACGGGGCGGGTGGGTGGGCCAGGAAATGGGGATGAATGAAAACGACGAGAGCAAGCCGGAGTGGCATCGGAAAGAGCCGAGCCAGGTGCTTCACGACTAATTAAGAAAACAACTTTCGCCCTCTCGCCTGAGCAGCAAACAATATAATTATGTAATTTAACCGGCGTAAATTTTCGAGAAAACTGCTACAAACTTTTCCCGTTTAAAAATCATTTTGCAGTGATTCTCAGAAGGGAAAATGAATTTTTTTCAATTAAAATTATATGTTCCTTTAAAAAAGAAATGTATGAAATACACAAGGTTGGCAACAGTTTTCATACAAAGAAGAAGAGGAGCGAGAGAAGATTCCTCTCTGGCTCACACAATTAAAAAACCTCTTTTGTTTCGCAACTGTACAAATTCAAAACAAAAGCGTGGCAACGGTATATATATGATATTGCCCAAATTACAGCAACAAAGACCGCACGTGGAATGTATAATTCCCCTCTTTAAAAAAAAGAGAGACACACTTTCTCGTTTCCAGCCTACTTGCCCCATTTCCTAATTACCTGCTTAATATTAATTAAGCCCACCCGTTTGCCAGCAGGCAGAAGTGCATCAGAGCTGAACAATAAGGCACTTGACTGTCAAGTTATAAAACGAGGCATTCACCCCTTTTTACCCCTCGCGCTCTCTTTCCCGTTGAAACTTGATCTCTCTCGGTGAAAAACGAGCAGAAGTCCCCCTGCCCCGTCAAGAGAGCGTTTTGCGCTGTTTGTGTCACCAGGCAGAGCATTTTTATCGATTGGTTTTTTCCCTCACTTTTATTTTTCAAAATAAGGAAATTGGCACAAGGAGCAAAATAAGCGGCGGCTCGGTTGCGCAGATTATTTCGGGGCGACCGGCGGCGGAAACCGAGAGAGCGGCAACGGCGGCGGGTCCTTCAACTTTAATGGGCTGCAGCCCGTGCGAATATTGATTTAATGCACGACGGTGTGTAAAATTAAGGTCTTCCTACTGTCGGTGCGACCGCCGCCGCCGCATCCGAATCGGCCCGACGAAATTAATAAACCGCTGCATGACGAACAGCAGATGCCAGCCTGGAGAGCCCTTTCTTGATGACTCATCAATTTTCCACATGCCAGAAGATCTCCGGCCGCTCGCTGTTGCAGCTCCCTTGATAATGCAACGCCGGCAGAACTCGATCTCGCCCAGAAAATGTATCACTGCTTTTCGAGGATGTTAGGCAGATTGATTTCCATCGGAATTAGCGCGAGACGCGCGAACGAGCCGGCTCGAATGGCGCGCGGCCAAATCAAATTACCACACGAATTATTCTTCAGGCGAACTGGAATGACAGTCAATTTGATATAGCTGCTCCTAATGATCAAATTTTAACTGAATGACCTTATATAAAAACTTTTTGAATTTTTCTTATTTAAACCTTTTTAATTTTAAATTAAAAAATCAATTTATTGCAAACAAATTGTGTCTCAGTAGAAAAAATTTTAGTTAGTGTAAAATAGTGCTGCTATTGTAAATTCAAGGTTATTTCTAATAATTTTAAATAAGCAATTTTTAATATTTAAATTTGGTTTAAAATTCAAGAATAAAATGGTAAAAACCTAAAAATAGACACATGAGAACAATGTACCAAATAATATTATTAAAAGTTTTTAACATTACATGAACAGTCTTCTTTGTGGCTAATATGGTGTGGAGATTTAATTAGCAACAAATATTTTCATAATGGTTATTTGAAAATGTGAATGATTTAATTTGCTCTTATCCCCATAGTGAAATTTTTAATAATTAATATTTTTTTGCTTTAAACTAAATTATTTTGGCTGAAATCTGTTTTGCAGCACTTTTTTAATATGCTATAGGGAAAAATAAGTTTGCAAATGGACTGCTTTTCCAGTCATTTGGCGGAGCCCACTGTTTTTTTTTTTTTTTGACACACGCACGTAAAAGTTTTAAATTCCATGGCGAGCAGAGAGTGCGAGAGAGAGCCGCGCGCGCACTTTATGGAGTGCATGCATTTAGTGGGTGGGCGTCGAATTTGCAATTCTAGGAGCGAGCGAACCTACATCGATTTATCTGCCGCGACTTTTATTACGATGATAATAAAGTCCGTTTCACTGAAGAAAGAAGAAGCGTGAATATTATTTTTCCATGAAATTCTCCACACTTGACTTTACGGCCGGCCGTATAATAGCTCATTTTACAGCCTCGCTCGCTACTGATCTGGATTGTTGCGTGCAAAATGTATCTGGCTGAAATTTCGGCGCTGGCATTGTAATGAGTTATTGATAGCCGTTGAAAATCACATTATTGCAAGCAGAGAGCGGTGTGTGGCGAATAAAAAAAATGAGCGAAACATTCGGCATTTGCGTGGCAACTAATCAATATTTAATTTTGCACCATCGGTCTCTCTCTCTCTCTCTCACACACACACACACACACACACACACACAAACTGGTTCCAGAGAAAAAGAGCAAACACGCGCCAGGGATGGATGGTGCTTTTTATTCACCCGCTATGGCACACGCGTATTTAGATTTTTCAACAATATGGTGGTAAAACGAGAGAGCGAGAGAGAGAGGCCGTGTATGCGTTACGTTCATAACTCGGCCTGTGCAGAATCACTGGGTACATACATAATGATTTACGCAAGGCTGGAGAGGAGCTGTGCGGTGGCTTCAGAGAAGAAGGTTGGTTGGATCGCACCAAGTGATGAAAATGGGGGACGGGAATGTGGAGTAGAGCAGCAGTAGCGGCGGCGGCGGGCGCAAAATTCGAGGGAAACAAACGTGCATGCGGCACATTGAGAGAGCGCCTGCAGAGAGAAAGCAGAGAGCAGAGAGAGCGAGCCAATACAAAAATTTTCGAGGCTGCTTCAATATTTGCGCTGGATTGCTAATGTGCTCGGGAAAAAAGCGGCAGAATTGAGCTCGTTACTTTTATAATTAGTGCACTGCCGCACAGTGCTCGTTTGGCCAGGACGGAAGCGACCCGACATCCGCTCATCTCTAGAGTGGGTACATATTTGCGAGCGACTGGGTCACGTCTGTGAATGTGTGTGTGCAGTGCAGTGCAATCGCTGCACAAACACCATTCAAAATGCAAAACTGCCAAATGATCCAATTAATGAAAGCGCCAACGGTGGAGCGAAAAAAAAATTAAAAAATAAAAATCGCAGGGGAAGTTTGAAAGCAGCCAGGGGGCGACTGCAGCACGCAAACTAGATGCAGGCGCCTAATTAAATAAAAAGAGCATTAGGGGGACCGTGTGCATAATTCGGCGGGTGAAACATGGCCGGTCCGAGCGAAGAAGCAGCAGCGGCGGCGGCGGCGGCAGCGGACGATTCGACGCCGCGCTTCGAGTCCATTGGTTGGCGGCGGCCGAGACTGCGCTCTCCAAATATTGATCCGCGTAATGTAGCAGCTAGAGCAGAGCAGCAAGCCTGGCGAGCAGGGCATCGGGCCCCTGGTAAAGCTGTCTGCAAGGAGAGCAAGAGGAATCAACATCATCGGCGCGGCCATTCCAGCACCAACATGGCTCTCATCTGCACCCTGCTTAGCTGCTGACCGCGGCCATTTTTGCTCCTTCCCCAGCAAGAGAAGGTCGGTCAGTGGGGCCGAGTCCTCCAAATGACGAGTTGAGGCTGCTTCGGCCCCGGGTGCAGCGCGATCGGGTTGTTCCTTTCTCTTCTCCTTGGTTCTGTCCTCAAGATCACCACTGCCTTGCAACGCACGCGACCACGGTGGCTGCTGTCGTCGTCGTCATCGCCCAACAATAATGTCTCCACCTGGAAGACGGCGATACTATATTTGGCCTGTCCGAATCGCCTTACTCGTTGTCTGCCTCTCACTTCCACATGGTAAGTGGCATGTACTTTTATTTTATTTTTTTAACGCTGGAGAGTGTAGTGTGTCCCGCGGGGCCTCGCACCAGTCTCGAAAATCGCTCAATAAAGCAGGTGAACGATATACGAGCGGGCCTCGAAGACCGCCTGCGACTCGGGCCGCACTTTATGGCACGCTTATTTTACGATCGCTATCACAAGACAATCGGCTGTTGCGCTGCCTGCAAAGATAAAAATTACGAGTCGCCCGCTTTTTCTCGCTCTCTCGTGCAACCCTTTATGGCCCACTCGCCAGCCTCAATTAGTTGGCCTGCTTTATCCGGCACGATCCAGCCGCTTTCCCTCTGTGTATGTGTTTTGTGCCGTCAATCTCGAATGGATTTTATCTCTGGGGGGATGTATTTCTGCACATGTAAATGGCCCTCCGCAAAACAATCGCTTTTAGCTAACAGGTTCCTCTCGCCGCGCTCTCCCCCTTTCTTTCTTGTTCCACGTGCACAGATTCTCGTCTCTCTTGATGTGTTGCAGCTTTTTTATTATCTGGAAAAAAAAACAAGCAGAGGTAAAACTAGTTTTTTTTTTTAATTATTCACGAGAAGCAATTACACGCGGACTCTCGTCGTTTAAATTCGGCGAGAGTTGGGACTTGTGCAATTTTAATTGCGAAAGAATCCGGGAACAAAAGTCGCCTTTTTAGCTCGAGTTGCTGCTGTCCATTGTTCGCGGCGCGCTGCTTTTGTCCGCTCGAAAAGGCGTCTCGCGAGTAAGGTTAATTCCTACAGGCACCTGCAAAAAACATAAATACTGAAATATTTTGCGCATTGTTTGGCGTGCCCCGGGGCGGCCGCCGCCGCACAAAGAAATGCACAAAGCGCGAAGAAATCGCCCGCTGCATAATGTTTGTGTTTGGCAAATAAGTGTGCATGCATGTATGTATGCAACCATTTTGTCTTATGTGCTTGTTGTGGTTGCATACCTAATGCTTCTGCAGGCGCTCCGCTCGCTCGCAAGCTGACGCGCTCGGACGTGACATCTCAGCGGAAGCCACAAAATTTGATTTTATGACCGTTTCTCCGAATGGGCCAGCGTAAAATTTTATAATTCAACCCTCACGTAGCAACTGTATTTTTGGGTTTCATCCTCGTTTTAACTATTAGCCCAGTCATAAAAAAATAATGGGAGCTTTACAAACCAGCCAAGCACTAAAATGTTTTCACCTGAATAAAAAATAAAAAATGTGCGCCGAAGAAAGCCGAGTAAATACATAATTTTGCCCAGGGTTAATACTAAAATGTTGAGCCCCGCTAGGAATAGTTTATTAGTTTTGAGCCTGTAGGCAAGGCGTGGTCCCCTCGTTTTAGAGAAAGTCCCGAGGCAGTTCAGCTGTTTGAAAGCCAAGCAGCGCGTCAACAACGCGGGGGTTTCATTCTTAAACACATGATCTCCTTCCTGCACACTTGAATGGCTGCATATATGGTGCACACCAAAAAAGCGCAACGTTTATCAGAGCAAGCCACGAGGGGACAACAAAAAACGCAAGCGCCATCAGATTTCGTCCCAGCACGCTCTAATTTGGCGGTGATCTGCGAGTGCTAAATTATCGGAGAGGAAAGAATTCACCCCTGCATGTTTTGCGGGGGAATGCGTAATAAGGTCACCAAAATGTGCGCCGCGAGCAGTTTTTTTTTCATTTGTTATACGTCGCAGCTAAAAACATCTCACCCCTTTTTTCGAGGTATGATTTACGATCAAAAACGGTGCTTTATTAAAAATTATTCAGACCTCTATTGATATCTTGACGTCTGAATTAATGGCGAATTTGGATAAGGGCAGTTAATTTCGGCGGGTGATCGATGTCAGGCATTTTTCCCACGTCCGCAGAGTATAATAAATAATACGCACATTTCGTTATTTTCCCCTTGCGCTGCTTAAATAGCAATTTTTCTCCGGCTTATTAGATTGATACGCTATAAAGATTAAGTTAATTCTTCGTTACCTGAAAGTCCCAAAACTATTTTTGAGAAATCTAAACAAAAAATCTTATTTATTTAAAAATTCTATCATCGCTGCCGTTTTAAATTTGCAATGTTTATCAAAATCAGATCTTTAAATTTCAGTTTTGATGAGGATAATCATTCTAAAATTTGTTGAAAAAGAAATTTTCTTATTTTGTACTGGGCTCGTTGTTGTGGATAGGGTATGGTATTTTTAATCTCGCAAGTTTAAGAATAATTCTTTGTAATGATGGTGCCTTATTATCCAACAGTTGAACAATTCAATGTCTTCATCCCAATAATAATTAATTAATTTACAATATTTAGATATTTTTGTAACAACTCAAAAATACAGCAAAAATAATTGATTTAAAATTTTGGCCGGAGTCATAGGAAAAATTTAAAAAAAATCAAAATATAAGTATTTTATTTATTTACATATTATTAATTTTTTTTACTGATTTGTAAGATTTAATTTTTCTGTCGGTTTTCAAATAAAGTAACTTAACAGGGAAAAAAATTAATTTTATGAAGTTAAATAATTGTATATATGTATTTACTTTTTTACTTGTGACGTGATAATGACGTAATTTCGCTCGAACTTTATATTTCAATTGTTGTTCATTCAGCGACGTTCGTTCGCGCGAACTTCAATCGTGGACTACCTATTTATTACACCACGCGCGAGGCGCCTCCTGTTGCGGTTGCATTTCTTGGCACGATTCGGTAGTCAAAAGAGCCGATTGACGCTCATTCGTGCTTGCTCGAGTAAGTAAATTCGGCGTAATTCAGCGTCGCGTACACACGTCAGTTATTAAAAAAGAAAGCGCCTCTCAGCCCGCCGTATAAGGGGTTTTGCACACCAATACAAGGGTGGAAAAAGTTGAAACTCTTTTGTTTTTGCTCGCGAGCTGCACGAGTTGAGATTTTTATGATGCGTCGAGAGCTCCTTCAGCGGCACACAAAGCCCGACCCTGCCGCGAAAAAATGTAAATTTGCGCTAAAAGCATTTTCATATACACACTCTGAAAAGTAGGCGGGCAAAAAATACACTAACTGTCAGTCGATGTATAGTAGTGGTGGCTGAAATGGAGGGAAAAAAGATCAATCGTTCTTCTTTTCTGTTGCAGAATCTCACCAAGGGCCTCACGAAAAGAGACTGTTACACCAATTGCTAGACCACTACAACGTGCTGGAAAGACCTGTGGCCAATGAGTCGGACCCACTGCAACTAAGTTTTGGCCTCACGCTCATGCAAATCATAGACGTGGTAAGATTTTCTCGTATTTCCCAACCATTCACACGCGATCGGGGGCCAAATGATTTCGCCGCGGCAAACAAACAGAAGATGCTCATGTTCAAACACGAACTCCTCCTTTGCACCCTCTCGGAGTTTGCGAAACCGCAATCTTGAGCGAGTCGGCGGCTTCGAATCCGAGACTTGATTATTTGCTTAAGGGGCGTGTGACGACTCGCAGATCAATTACATTTCCTCGCTTCAGGCCGCGCGCCCGGTCGAAATTAAAAAGGTCTCGAAATTAGTTTCCAGAGAGCCGTGGCGAGGCCAAGTGAAAAACGCACGTCGCACAGACGACACCGTCTCCGCCGCTCCTTCCTTTCAAAGCGCTTCCGTGCATTGAAAAGAAGGAGCCCGCACTGAAATTTTTATCTGGGAGACGGTGGAAATTATCACTTGAGCTTCGACCCTGGCAAGTCGTGTTGTGAAAAGGAGGTGCACATTGGGGTCGCATATGGCTGGGGGAAGATTTCTGAACTCGAAACCTAACATTTGAAGTATTCACTGATGGATTTTGAGTAATATTGTTAGGTGCAAACCTATTTATATATTTATTTCTTATCAATTAAGCACATTAGAGACGTTTTACTGCGTTCTACCAAAAAAAATTTTACGATATTTGATCATGAAAAAATTGTTGTTATTGTTCATGTGTCCACATTGTTACAATACATTGTTTACACTAAATTCTTGAAAAAAATTTATTAAAAAAAAGCAATTGTTGGACAAAACGTCAACATCACTAGCAAGAATTTTGCTGAAACTTCCAAGATCAAAAAAATCCCCTCCGCCGCAGTGAATTAATAATTTATTAATAAAATTAAATTGCGTACCAAAAATTTTTCTGTAAACAAATAATATTTAATTTTTATAGGAATTTTTATTTAAATCTTAAAATTATTGAAAAAAATCATTTTGAATATATTATTAATGAGTATTATTAAAAAGCCTCGGAAAAATATTTATATAAATAGGAAAAGAAAATCCCTCTATCGTAGTAAAACGTCTCTTTGGATCCGAACGTTCACCTCCTTCGCCGCGAACATAGGCATCTTCAAGCCACGCAATTTCGTTTTTATTTTCCATGTTTATCCAAATAGTTTTTCACGACCGTGATTGTGATTCGTCCTGAGAAGACACCAAACGTTACCGGCTGGCTTAAATAATGACAAAAAGTGAAACAGAACCGACACCCCTCTAACTAAATGCAAATCAAAGTCGACCAGCCGCAGACAGATCTAAATAGACAGACTGATAGTTACAGCCTAGCAAGACAAATTGATTCACTCGTCGCGAACTAAAGAGAGAGCGAAGGAACGAGAGCGCATTTATCATGTCAAATCGGCACACAAGTAGGATGCAACAAATGAGCGGCGGCCCTTTTGTGTGTGTGATCGGGGCCGGAAGGAAGCCGGCAATGCCATCGCACCCGCCGCCCAACCCACATTCAATTTAGCATAATCGCTGGAAAAAGCAGCAAGTTAAGAGTCTTTTTTGGGCGAGGGGGCGCGCGAAACACGTTTTCAAGGCGGCCCTTCCTCCTTTATGCACATCCGAATAACCAGGGAGTGGATGTTGCGCTTTATTACTATTCGAAAATGCCGTCGTTGCTCTCTTTCATGCAGCTTAATATGTACCACTACTGTGGTGAAACAAAAAATGTAGGTCATCACAATGACAGGCCATTGTACTTGTTATCCTCACTCATTATGCCCGCTCTGTGAATATTGAAAATGAAACCGCCGCTGCAGAATCGGCTGGGTGATTATCGAGCGGCGCCGCGGATCTTTTTTTCCTCCGCCGGCGTGTGTATACGTGTTTGCCAGGGAATAATATTGTCGCTGGCAGAAGCAACCTTTTGATTATTTTCTAGTTAACGTCCGATTTGGTAGATTAATCGAAAAACAGTCCTGCAGACTTTTTATCCGAACGCAACTGTTGATAAATTGACGCTTCATTGATCACGTCCAAACGTCTGCAGCAATCAATGAACTCCCTTTCACACATTGTTCCGACTTTTCTTCTTTTCCCTTTCATTTCGGTGGTTTGTCCCGAGCTGAATTATTGATTGTGCTCCCCACGTACGTGCATGCATGTGCGAGGATAAATATACCAAGTGTCGGTGCTCATTCACATAAACTGACTGGCAGAAGAGGGACGAGCCAGAGAGAAAGAGGAGCACAATCCGCAGATGAAAAATGATGTGGCAATCGCCCTTAAGCTAGAGCTATCTGCAGCTCTATCAATAATGCAAACGCTCCGGACCGACGGGGAATTTCGAAGATTGCCCACACCGAGAGAATATCCGCAGCAGCAGCAGAATTTCACTGCTGGCTTTTAAACCAGTCGCAGCGGACCATTAGCTAAATTATCAGATCTCCGCCTCCCACTCTCTTTTAATAAATATCAAAGGTAGAGCTAAAAAAAAATGCGTTCTGATTTATACATCGGGGGTTAGCTGGAACTGAGCAAATACATCAAAGGCTGACTGATTTTCCTCCCCCTGTGCTTTTTCTTTTAATTAAATTTTGTGTGTGTGTGCGGAGCTTATTGATTAGAGAGGTTGGCGTCAGGTGAAAAAAGGGAAAAATAATAATTTAGATGCAAATGAATGAATGAATTCTCGGCCGCAATTACGTTGTATGAATATTCACCAGTCCATTGCGAATTAATTTTTTTACACGGGGGGTGCAAACGTGGACGTGAGTAGATTAGCAACTTATTAAAACCAACTGGTTAAAATTCAGCAGACAATCTGGCAAACAGCATTTTTATTCAGGGGGGAGGGTAGGGAGGGATGGAGACGAAATATCGTCGCGCGCCTTGTTTGCAGCAGACGAAAATTAAATTTTTTTCCAAGGGCGCAGAAAAAATTCCTCAGTGCCGTCATAAAAGCGGAAAACTCGCACCGCCATTTTCACCAAAGCAGAAACCTTTATCCCTGAGAGTTTATGGGTGGTCGCATATGATGACAGCGGCCCAGCTCGCTCACTCTCTCGGTGCTGGCGGAGATGCTCGCCGGCTGATACACCCCGAGCTATTTTGTATGCGAGTCGCCAAGTGTTAAAAATTTATACCTCCGCAGCTTATGCATAATAAAGGCGAGAGGGGCAAATATATTTACGCCAATCATTGCTTTCTGCTTGCCCGCCGGGTCGAGCGCCGAATAATAAAAATAAACAGAGATGCGAATCGGTCTTTCTCGGAACGTGCCACTGCCAACTGTTAGTTGCCCGCTTGCTTCATCACGAATTGATCCCGCGCCGCCATAAATCACCGGCGTGAAACGCGATATTCCCCATCTGTTCGCAGAAATTGACACCCCTTCTTTGGAATTAGGCCGGAGAAAAATGGATTCTCGGTGGAATAAATCACGGCGGAAAAGCGAGAATGTGATACGGCGGTTAAACGGAAATTGATGGAAATGTGAAAGTAAATTGCTTTCACAGGGCGATCTTTGAGCCGAGAGCAGCTCAAACGTTTGCAAATCAAATAGCTTCGCATTCAATGAAATCGCGTTTCAAATTGAAGAAGATAATTTAAATAAAAATGGAAATCAATTTTTATTGACGTCAGATGATGAAATTAATTTTAGTATATCATTTTTTTTTTTGCCTTCTTCGACTAGATTTCAATTAATGGCAAATCACTTCATTCAACATTTAGAATTCTGACTGATTGTAATTTTTAAATTTATTTCAATTAGAATTGATTTTAAAAACAGATTGCCCCTCTGGATTAAAATTGGTTAAGTTATTTCTGCCCTCAAACCGAAAATGAGTGGGGCGTGGTTTTTTCCACATTCAGGGGTTAATTTGCTCGCGCGCTTCAGATTTGAGATCCCGGCGGATTCTAATTTTATCCGTTTTTTAAAGCACGCACTCGAGATCGTTTCACTTTCGGCGCGACAACAAAAGGGTTCGAGCGTAATCAGAGAGTGGATTAGGCGCGGCGGCATTTTTATTATATTCTTTTCATTCACAAGTGGTTGGGTTGGTTGGTTGGTTTCTTTGGGGTCGCAGCGGCAAAATTGCGAGAACCGCTCGCAGAGCGAGCGGCGTGTGTGCTTTGCAACAGAGCTAGTTTGCGGGCGCAACGCCAGTTGGCAGTAGGGCTTTGGAAAAAGTGGTCGGGAAAAATCAATAGTGTGTTGATTGGGATGCTGTGTGCTGTAGCTGCTGGCTCGTGTAGGGGTGTTCCGACCCAGACGCGAGCGGAGGGAACGGGAGGCCCCGCAGTTAGGTTGCCGTTTCAGCCCAACCCCCTCCCTCATCCCTGCCCGCCGTGCAGCCGAGGCCTATGTGTATGGATTTTCCAGGCGCAGGAAAATCAAAATTTGTATGCGTTCCCGAGTGAGCGCATTCTTTCCACGCGGCCCCCCTAACCTATAATCGTCTTTGTGCAGCAGCTCTCGATCGGGGGCACGGCTCACGGGGCGCGTGCAAGTGCGGTGCATTTGGGTCAGGAGAGCAGAGCGCGGCCGGGCTGTGCGGAATTTACGGCTCCGAGCGGCAAAGATTCTTCCCTTTTGTGCCTGGGAAAATTGGTTTCTTATCTGATTTTCATAAAAAAAGAGCGAGAAAATAACGAGATGCGCTGCCTTTAATTTCAATTTGCGAAAGAAAGCGACCTGACAAACTCCATTTTCTAGGAATTTACTTTTTAAAGGGATCGCAACACATAAAAGATTATAAGAGCACAATTTTTTTTTCAAACTTCTTTTTTAAATTATTGATAATTTGTATTTATGCTTTTGCAGTATTCATAAAAAGTAAATGCATAAAAACTACAATAAATTTCAAAATGATTATCGATAATTTTTCTTTTGGATCAGCTAAAATAATTGCGTAAATTAGTTATGTTTTTAGATCCTAAAAAATATAATATAAATTTAAACACCAACATTTCTTTAAGAATTTTTAAAATTATGAACATATTGGTTTTTATCACTCTGGAAATTAAGTTTCATTTTTAATCCTTGTATGGGAAGATTGAATTCCCTTTCTGACCATAACTGTAATGCAACTTGTCAATTCTAAGTACATACCTCACTCACAAGGCCGTCAAACTATGAATTCAGGGCGAGTGATTGGCCGGCAATGGCTGTGTTATCGATGGGAACGATTTTGCACCGAAGTGTGCACGCGGAGGGTGTCCAAGTGACACTGTCAAATGTCTTTCTAATCAGCAGACGGCCCCGTCTTTTACATCTATGATTCGTTATTGGATATTGGGCAGACGGTGCCGCGCCGCTGGATGGAGGAAATAAGTAGAAGCGGTGACGTCACGCTCGAAGACGACGCTTCCTCTCCATCGGAAAGCGCTGACGGCGCGCACCAAATGAATGATAATATAACTTGAGGCTGCCGATTCGCAATTACTGTGTGTGCCTCGACTTTAAAATCGATATTTATGCATGTGCCAGTTTAAGTAAGTGAGTCACACTCTCGCAATCTTGAAATCTCTGCGCCGATTGGAAAACTTTTGGCAGAGGATGAATAATGCGCGCGGCTTTGCCATATGGAATTAATGTTTGCGCCATTATCTATCTCATCACTAAGTAAGCTGCTGATTATTGTTTGAGAACTAATTTGAATTGCGATCGGATTAACTTGGAGATGCTGATCTTTGCGTTTTCCTATTGCACAAGCCACCACTTGGGTTAGATTAATAAATGTCAAAACGCCATTTGCAAGTAAACTAAATCGATTCAAACTTCAAGGAAACTAATGCCTGGGAAATTCAATCGCTTATCTATTTTTTTTTTTTTAAATAAAAATAAATAAGTGAAAGAATGGTGGCTTTAAATTTCATTTTATGATAAATAAATATTATCTTCATTTGTTTCAGATTTATGTAAAGGTCTAATAAATAGAAAAAAGGATTCATTGAATACAATTTAAAACAAGGGAATCAATCAAGAAGTTAAAAATTCTTTCAATATGTTTATGAGCAACCGTAAATTTAAAATAAATAATAATAAAAACTGAAGTTTCGGAATTTATTTAAAACAGGAACAACTTGAATTAAACTAGTTTTGAGAAGTAACTTTTAATTAAAACTTTTGAAATCATTTAGGAGTAAAAGTAATTATTTGTCTATTTCCGACTTATGTTGAAAAATCACTCTGACCATGAGTGCAATCAGAGGAATCAGAGCAGCGTTCAATCGTCGATCTATTGCCGAGTGGCTCAAGTGCCACGAGCAGGATCTAATTTCCATTTGAAGAAATGAGTGTGTCAGAGAGCAGCATTACTAAAGTCAGTTGTACTCTGCAATCGAATCGACGGACGGATCTGTGTTGGCCTAGCTATTTATTTCTCTCTGGCGAAACATGGCTGCTTCTGACAATTAAATTGGCTCGCCGTACTTAATCAGCCGTCCTGCTTTCTTCCTCCTCCCCGCGAAGAGGAGGCTGGCTTTCCCTGGCTTATGCAGTGCGGTGCAGCTGCAATTTATTTGAGCTTATTGTCGCATCTTTCGGCTCCAACGAACACACAACAGAGCCAAACAAATGACCCTCTCTTCTAATGGAGCTTATTGGCCCTGACAGCAAAAGATCGCTTCTTGAAAAGCGAATTTCCTCTTGACGGCCTTATTTATTAAATTCCTGTTTGCTCGCGCGTGCCTCTGTCTTTCTCTCATTAGCGAGAGCTGCCGGCACCAGGATCGATCATGAAAATGGGCATGCAAGTCACACACTCGTCCCTCCCGAGAGGCCGCAGCCGCATTTCCGCACGCGGCAGGCAGGGCGCGGTCCAAAGAAGTGATAAAAGAATAACAAGGTGCCGCCGCCATCGATTCGTTCTTTAAAAACGTGCACGGAGTGAAATTGTTTTGCTCCAAACACATTCGCCCGCCGTGTTGCTTTGTGCAGAGAGACGCGCGTTGACACTTGACGACCGAAATTTCATCTGCGCCATTGCTCCGACGCCCGAGACACTCCCAGAGAATTGACGTTTTTATCGGTGAAAAATGTACTGGTTGCGTGGCGAAACGTGTACATGCCCACGCATTGTATATGAATTTGGAACGCGGCCCAAAAATCCTATCATATTCAACTGTAAAGAAATAATCAAAATAATATTTAAAAATCTATCAATAATTTGTTCAAATTCCATTTTATCTATTTTTCAAGATCTTTTAATCTAATAATTACTTTAATTAGAATCAAATGATAACTTATTTTTACTACAGTATATTATAATTTCTAGAAATTTTTTTGATTTTTCAACAACATTGGAGAAACCTTTAGTAAAATGAATGAGACCAAAATTAGAACTTGCAATTTTGAAATTTTTTCCAATATTCCCTGCACGACTTGTCAGAAGGAAAAGATAAATAGATTTTATTTTTTACATTTTAAAGAGCTCCAATTCAAAGAAACTTCTAAAGCATTTTATAAACGTTCTTCTCTGCATACCAATTTAAGAGACAAAAAACGAAATCAAGATATCGACACAAAAATTTCCTATTCCAAGATAGTCAAAGTTATCTTCCATTCTTTTTGCACCACTTGTATTGGAATTGGATGCTTTTGTGTTGCTTTTTGCAGATAGCAAGCGCCACTATCTATCAATAAAATTTGCATTCGGCCTATTTCCCAGAGAGCTGCACAACTTACTTTTCTACTTACTCACGGCCCAATAAAAGTTGCGCCGATATTTTTTGCAATATTCCGAACCTTTCATCCCCGAGCTCTTTTCATTTTTCCATAAACATATCCTCGGCGAGCATGAGAAGCAAAAACTAAACTGTGTCATTCGGAAACGCCGAACACGCTCCATCTGCGATGATAAAGCTCCCTGGGCACAATTCATTTTTATATTGCTGGCCGTATCCTTCCCAAATCAAACTTTCGCAATAAAAGCCGAGCGAGCCGCGGGGATAACCGAGACATACGCTTTGAAGAGACTGGCCGATGAGTGGACTGTATCTAGGCTTAGGCTGTAATTAAGCAGATTTTTGAAACTCTGATATAAACACTTGCTACTTTTTGCTTCTACAGGACGAAAAAAACCAAATGCTTACCTCGAACGCTTGGTTAAATTTGGTAAGTGGGCAGTCAGCATTGATCTTATAATATATATCGTTTTGCTGCAGCCTATATAATATTTTCAATGTGACACGGTAGACAGCAAAGATTCTTTAAAAAACCACAACATTCAAGCAGGGCCAGCAACTCGCGTTCAAATTACAAATCACACGCAAATATAATTATACTTATTTCAAATCACGCGCGGTCGAAAACATTCTAATTAAAAATGATCAATAAAATTATAATAAAAAATTAATTGTCAAACACACGAACCTGCCCCTGATTGGATTCTCGATTGTGATTATCATTTGAGTTGAAAAAACACATCCTGGATCGCCTTAGGTTTCTTTTTGATTTTTGGGTCCTTGCGTGTGTTTTTTTGAGGTATATCGCCTTGCTGGTGCCAGATCGGGAGAGAAAATTTGTTCGCGTCTTTCCCCCGGGGGACGCTTCTCACACGCATTTGGCACCAAAAATGTTTGGTTGGTGTGAGCATTTCGATAAAGACTAACACACGCACATCTCTTCTCGTTGCATGTATATTAGGATGAGAAGAATCAGCTTCTAATAACAAACATATGGTTAAAACTGGTAAGTCAATTTAAATTCAACATTATTAAATAAAACAGAGGATAAACCAAGTTGGAACAACTCAACAAAAACGAGAGCATTTTACCTGGACTAAAAATGTGTGGATATGAATGTGGATTTTTTGATTACGATATTTTATATATAATCATCATTACAGTACCATTTTATATTATATATGATGATCATCTCTTCCGTTTTCTCTCCTCCTCTCTTTTTTGCACTGCCCGCACTTGAACGAGAACCGAATGAGGATAAGACGAGTTTGCTTTTTCTGCAGATTTGCAGCTATTCAAGGGGCAAAACAACTTTATTTATCCTCAAGAATATAAAAATATTTTTACTAATATTACTCTTATAATTCACTTATGATTTATTATTTTTGTTTTTGCTTTCCATATCCCATGAGTTATATATTTTTACTACTAACATTTTATTCCTTTTTATATCTACACAAATTATTATTATATATTATTACAAAAGAGAGAGTATACTTGGAGAAAAGCATGTTGACATCAAGACGAGTGCAGTGTTAAGTTTCGTCTTGCCCCGCCTGAACAAGCCAAAGTTACTTACTGTATTTCAATATATATTATTATATAAAATCTACTTCCTTTTCATTTCCACTAAAATGACGAATTTTTGTTCCAATTCTCAAATAAACTCCTTGCAATAGTCCGTAGGAAAATTTAAACAAGTTTTTTATACTTTTCGAGAGAGCATATCATTTTTCATAAAGCAAAAAGCAAAAATATTATACTGCCTGAGTTGCATCTTTTGTTCAAGTTTTAAGGATTTCAGATAATTAACTCGGGTTATTAATTCAACAAAATCTCACGTCAAATTTTCTCAATACCTTTCAATGCTGCAGAGCAAAAAAAAATTATATATATACAGACTTTTAAATCTATTTCTGGAGAAGAATTCATACTTGAAGTTCAGCTAACAATCTGAATCCTACTGCGCCCCTCTTTTTCAGTTTACCTATGTTCTTTTCGTTTCAATTATTAACATAACGGACCGAAACTCGCGGTGTTTTATTACTTTCCTGTTTTTTCAAAAAAATTAAAATGCCATTAAAACATTCATCCACACACATGAACCAACTACTGTAAATCACAAGTGCTAATAAAATTTTTAAATAAACTCTCTTCATTCTAACCTAATTAAACCATGAAAGATTCTTGCTGCGTCTCAGCAAAACGCAAAATTAAGCGTCAATAAACAAGCGAAAAATTCCTAATTGTTTTCTAGGAGAGACTGCGTTTCAATGATATTATACATATACTCTTTTAGATTTTTGCCCTTTCTCTCATCTGCACGAAACGATATAGCTGCAGGTTGCTAATTATTCGCATGCAGTATTTTCGTTGGAGTGTTTTATACTTTGTGTTGTTTGGTAGTGTTGTGTTCGCATGCGATTTTCAAAAAATAATGATTTCCGCTATTATCAAATAATGTTCAATGTCGGCCGAAGGGTCGTTTTTGTTACAACTTAGGTTTAAGGCCTAAATTATAAGTTCAGTTTAGAGAGAAGGAAGGGAAAATCCGCAGCACTTGATTCGCTGTAACGCTGCAATTTGTGCAAAAATGATATTTCAAAAACAAGGAAATTTATTTCAATTTGGGGGCTGAAATGGTGATTGAATTTACACAAAAAAAATCCAAGCACCAATGACAGCCATGTTTAAAGAATTAGGTGAGTATCAGTTGTGCAAAACTGTGTGTAACATTTAATTCTTGAATTAATATCACAAATTGCAGTTATTTCCGGATTCTCGTCTTGTTTTTTGCGCTTTTAATTACTGTCTGCAAAGTGCGCCTGTAGTAACTACCCAACCCCAAATAATAAATTTCTCCCTACAAACACCTCTCTTTCACAATATACATAGAAGAAATTCAATAATCGTGATAAATTTGCACGAGCCATTTCATTAATTCAAAGTAGTTGAGAGTTCATAGTTTCTAATGAGTAGATCTTTACTCCAATGGCATCTGCGCATTTTCCCTTCCTTGACGAGGACTGCGAAGTTCAGTCCTGTGGTGCTCGGAAATCAAGCTTGACCGCATTTTTGCCATTTGCTCTCTCTCTCTCTTTTCTCTCTTTTAAGTTTGAATTTAATATTTCCACCTCTTGAGAGAAATCGCGCAGTATCCAGCTTTATTTCTGAGAGCACTCTCTCTCAAAGTAAATTTCAAACACTTAGTTTTACAAAAAAAAAAAAAAAAAAAAAAAAAAAACTCGAAAACGAGCCCATTTCACTTGCCCTACTGACGAGCCTCCTGTCCGCATCGTGTAGGAGTGGAACGATGTCAACTTGAGGTGGAATTCGTCTGAGTATGGCGGCGTCAAGGACCTTAGGATCCCTCCTCACCGCATTTGGAAACCCGACGTGCTCATGTACAACAGGTATGCAACCGGCGACACACGCTCTTTTTCCTTTTTCCACTACTTTCCACAACGAGCAGGTTTCAGTCAGTTTTGCTGAGCGGCAGAGTAATTTTTTTTCTATTATCATTTTTTGTAACGTCGACAGTGGCGCTTTTGTAGAACCATTTTTGCCAGCTACTCAGCAAGTTGTTTTTCCACACATTTTAATTTGTATTAGTTGATTGTAGAGTAGATGAAGTTTTTTTTACTTCCAGCAGGTCGGTTTTTGAGCTTTTTGTCAGGCTATGTACTGTACTATGGCAGAATCATCTTTTTTTTTCGTCATTAATTTTCAGTGAGGTGACGCAAAAGTTTTTGGTGGAAATAAATAAATACACACAGACGTTTTTGTTCTCACAAATATAAACCAATCGATATTTAACTAAATCTTGATGTAAATGCTGAAATAATTCCGAGTGCGTTGCAGTTAAATAAAGTTGGTGCTGAGGGTCTGATCGCAAGGTTTGTATGTAGATCTCGTGAATAGCAAACCAAATTTGGAACTCGTCGACTAAATTCTCACACACAAAAGCAAGACGTACATTAATCGGGTAACGTGTTTTTTTGGTTTGCTATGTGATCTTCTCACAGCTTCGTTTTAGAATAATAGAGCCTTAAAAAATACGCAATTAATCATTAAAAAAATTCTAACCACAAACCGGTTTCCAAAACGAACTGGTTGGATTAAAAAAAATCATACATACACATTAATTATTTCCATTTAATTTGCTGACTTAATGTAAATATCACGTAGTTTTGAGCCAGCGACTGATTATTCCCGTTTGCAAGTTTATTGCACTCGGGAATGGCGAGTCGAGTCATTAATTTTTTGAAATTAGAGCAGATGATTTCCACTAACCCGCTTTGCTTCACCCTTAAATGGACCCTTAAACCCCTGCTTTTTGCTAAACCACCTTGGATAATTATGTGCTTTCAGGGCAGCAAATTTGAAAGATTTATAATTAAGCTTGTAAATGAATTAGAGTAAATATTTTTCCAGCAATTAACCCCTTTCAACTGTGCTGTCCTGAAGTACGCGAGCATTAATCAAGCAATAATCACTCAAGCCCAAGTGTGCAAAACAGCCGGCAAAAAAAAAATCATGCTTTGCTCTTTAAGCCAATAAGTTTGCCTGCCCGGTGCCAATGTACCACCACTGTCAGCTGCCGTCGTTGTTGGCTCACTGTAAAAAAACACATGTCACTTGGTTCTGGCGACAGACTAGCCTTCTCGGTTGGTCTCTAGCCGTTGGACCGATTAAATAAGGCGATGGTCCCATCGCTAACCTGATAATAAAAAAAGCCCAAATTACCCGAAAAAAAAACAACGCCCGCCTCTAAACAAGAAATAACCTCAACTTAATTTTGACGAATTAAACTTTTTGTTTCAGTTTTTCTTCTGTTTGTTTCTACTTGGTTGATAAATTTTCGTTTCATAAATGAAAGTAAAAAAATGCGAAATTTACATATGCGACCTGAAATAAAAGCAACTAAATCAAATCTAAATGCTACTAGCCCACCAATACAACTTTCAGCGTGACTGACTGAATTTCTCACATTTACATTGATGGCTGTCTTTTTCCAGTTTTTAGCCTTGCCGCAGTACATTTTTAGAAAATATAATGTCTAAATTGCGATCAAAAGCTGAATGATTTTCGTGTTGCCGAAAAAATATTTAACACTTTTCCCATATGTTGCAACTTTTCTTGGCCACACTACTATATTCTCCTTTCAAAGTTTCAACTTTTGCCTGTTGGCTTTTTGATGATTCTCATTTTCATTTTTGCTCTTTATTTTCGATTCTCTTCTCCATCTTTATCGAAATTTATATAATCTTAAGTGCACGCCCTTTTATTACCACATATGTTGTTGATGATTTTGAAGATTTTCATTTGTGTCTTTCTTTAATCGAACACGTGAAGTGCGGATGAGGGTTTCGACGGGACCTATCCCACTAATGTCGTGGTCAGAAATAACGGTAGCTGCTTGTACATTCCGCCGGGCATCTTCAAGAGCACATGCAAGATAGACATTACTTGGTTCCCGTTTGACGACCAGCGGTGTGAGATGAAGTTCGGCAGCTGGACTTACGATGGATTTCAGGTACAGTGCATTTATAATTACGATCACGCAGCGTGTTCTCTTAAAACGAGGACTGCATGAGCGCAGAAATGGCTCGGACATAATAAGTAAAGAATAATTTAGACATTTTTATGCAACTCCAGAATAAAATAATATTAATAATAATAATTTTACAGAAGGGCAATCAATAGCTTTTTAGAAAAGTATTTAACATATTTTTTAGCATTTTTTTTTAGAAAAAAAAGTTAATTGCATTAATTTACACACTTTAAATTCTGGTAAATTAAAAAATTAGTGGTTGAAATAAAATTTGTAAGGCCCTTTACTGTAGTCTGTAAAATAAGAAATAGATTTGGAATATACGGCTGCATGGAAACAGACAACAGAATTAGGAGGTTTTTTAAATATTGTACCGAAATTCACATCAGAGAAAATAGCACACACATTTGCTTGACTGATGCATGAATTTAGATTTAGAAGCAATTTAGGAATTAGAAACGAGCATATTTTTGCAAGTTTCAAAGGTTTTAGAGATAGAAAGAAAACCAGCAGTCAGAAAGATAAAAAAGGAAGAGAATATGAGTTTTGAAACTTGATGTCGAGCCTGCGGCGGAGATAGTGAGCACATCTTTATTTCGCCCTTCTTGTTGCAGCTTGATTTACAGCTGCAAGACGACGGAGGTGGTGACATTAGCAGTTTTATCACCAACGGTGAATGGGATTTACTAGGTAGGTCTTGAATTTACATTTGCGCGAGAAGAGAGCTCGCCGCGAAAATGAGCTTTCAAAAAAGAGCGAGAGAGAAATAACGCTTTTCAACGCACAAGAGCGAAACGGGCGCAAGAGAATTTCCTAAATTTAACGCTTTTCGGCGCCCGTTTCGGTGCGCGAGTTAATCAATAAAGCGGCGCAGGGGCTTTCGAAAATACATTTGCTTCAAGTGGGCGACTTCAACGGTGGGTGCTTTCAAGAGTTATGTTCCGTGCAAGTTTTATTGACGCGCTTGCACTCGCGACCGGGCCAAACGAAACAAAATTCTGCTCATTTTTGGAAGTAAAAATCTTTTTTCAAATAAAATTATAAAAAAAAAATGAAAGAAAAGGATTTAAATTTATGGAAATTGGTATATTGATGGAGCCAAATTGCTCGTCTCCTTGTGTGTTCTCGCAGGTGTTCCCGGCAAAAGGAACGAAATTTACTACAATTGCTGTCCTGAGCCGTACATTGATATTACATTTACCATTATCATTCGCCGGCGGACCCTGTACTACTTTTTCAACCTCATAGTGCCGTGTGTGCTGATCGCCTCGATGGCAGTGCTTGGCTTTACGCTGCCACCGGATTCCGGCGAAAAACTCTCCTTAGGTAACGATTGCTCCTTTTTCCTTCTCTAAATGTCTTCTTTCGTCTAAATCTCACCTCTCTTTGTCTTTTCTGCTACAGTAATTTTCATAAATATATTCAAAAGTTCCAAGACAAATTTTAATTCTAGTGAGCTTGCGTACATTCCAGCAGCGAACGTCAAATTTCGTGTGCGCTGCTAGTGTGAAATTCTTTAAAGGTCGTTGTTGCCTTTCTTTTTTTAACCAGCTAATCATCAATTTTCAGGTGAATGCGCTCTTGGCGCATTCGCGCATCAAATTACCATATTGACTGACATTTTTTTTATACATAGATAATGGTGTAAATCGTTTCTTTGGTGTAGCGCGCTCTCTTAAGTGTTATATAGGGTTAAATGGTGCTTATCGAATTTTTTAGAGAAGCTCACACTACAGGCACGCTTTCACGGATCATTTGAGCGAACTTGCGCTCATCTTGCTTCTTTACACTTTGGCTTGCATGAATGAAAAAAAGACACGTTGATGCAAGAACAATTTGACATTTTGTATATTCCGAACCTCATTTTCATGATTGATGATTGTCAAGTTTTTTGGCCTGTATATTTGAGTGCAAGTTCTCCAATTATTTATTATAAAAAAAATCCCCATGAGTTTCTCACAATATTATTTATAATCTTCGTGCCTCTCTGCAAAATGTAAGCACAGCAATATTTGCCGTTTCAGAAGTTTATGTTTTCCCATTTTTCATTACTTAACTCTACGTGTCTTACAATATGGTAGAAGTCTCACTATATTTTGTGATACGCAGGCACATTATCCATGCACTGTTTTTTCCACAGGGTTTCGTTTTATCAAACCACCCGCCAATTCTTATTTTGCGTACGCCGCCTCAGTACATATTGTTGATTGATTTCTCCTCCATGATTCGTGCAGTTTTCATACATATTGAAATCTCAAGTGTACTTATACTTGTGGCTTGCTTTCATAGACGCATGTAGAGCAAAATTTCTTGATTTGCGTTTCCGAGCCGATTTTCTCTTTATTTCTCGTTACTCACTTTCAGCAGTTCACTCTTTTTGGTATTTGATTCAATGACCGTTGCAAATTCATATATATTTTTGTGTTTTAACTGTTGTGGATGTGTTGCAGTAGTAGATTTGGTGACTTGCCAAGTGTTCATAATATATATACAAATTTTTATCCATCTTTCATTTGGTGCTCTTTGCTAGCTGACTAACAATGAGTTCTTCCAAGCAGCATAAACGAGTCGGCGGTTGCAGATCACCATAATTTCACCATCACATTCATTCGCAAACCTGTAATCTAGTTGGACTTGTTAGATCTTTGCCGTCACGTTTTCTCAGCTGACTTGTTTTCTGAATGGGTGTAAAACTTATTGATTCTCCAATCGCATATTTTTCTCCACACCAGTTGAATATTTCAAGTAAACAAAGAAATTAGACACGGCTTTACGTGAGATGTGGATGGCTAAGATTTTAATCATGCTAACCATCGAGTGGGCTCTTAACTATTTACATTAAACACATATTATACTCCCGCTAGTTTGAAAATTTCCCATAGCTTTCGCTATTCTTGAATGAGTTCTAGTTTTGTAAGACCATACATTTGCTATCATCATATTATTATACATTTTGACACTTTGACTCTGGTTTAGTGTTTTTTCTTACTTATATACATAATTAGTTTGAATATTGTGTAATTTTATACTCCATCATACTTTTTATATCAATATATATTTACATATATCTACTACAACTATACACCACTGCTTGTGTTGAATGATGTTAATGTTTGGCTTCTTTGTCTCTTGTTTCCTCCGCAGGAGTAACCATTCTTCTAAGCCTGACTGTGTTTCTAAACATGGTTGCCGAGACAATGCCTGCAACCTCCGATGCAGTTCCTTTATTAGGTAACTAGAGTAACGCTAAAATACACCACCAGAATCAGGCGAAACGTCACGCATATTATATATTTTTTTTTGACAAAGTTTATCTACATATTGACAAAATCGGAACGAAAAAGTCTCATATGCTAGATGGAAAAGAGCGTACGATTTTTAAAACGACAAAATGAGAAAGTTTGAAGCATTGTCCGGATGTTGATATTTCTCCCATACAACCTACTTTTTTGACGAGCTCGATCGACTATTAACCACCATAGGTGCGCGCGAAATGCATTAAGATAGAGAGAAGCTTTTAGCACTTGTGAGACAGAGGGGGTTTGTTTTCTGTTCTAGCCACAATCTTTGGCGATTACAGGCACTCTCGTTCGTGTTCCACTCTTGCAGCCACCACTCATTATTGCAGGTTAATCCGAGAGACGTTCGGACGTGTCATATTGATCGCAGGATTACTCTCTCTCTATCTCTCTTGCTCTCTCTTCCACCCTCCTTTCGTCCCCCTCTCTCTCGGCTCATATATAATTTCAACTTCAATGTGTGTGTAAGTGTGCGTGTGCCCAACAGCCAACTGACCCTAATTGTGTCAACAACCCCCCTTCAAACCCAGCTCCTCCTTATGAAAGATCATCTCAAGCCCTTGCTTACTCTTATTAATGCCAAAGAGTTTTTATTTTTCCGAGAGTCGCCACCACGACGGTCATTATTTCACCATGTGATTATTCATTACAGACCTGCATGTGATTTTGTAAAATTCGTCATATACATATTATTACATTATATACATATTAAATATTTTGAATCTCATTTTATTATCTGGAGATCAGGCTTTCCTGGAATGATTGATTATTCTCACGCCTTGCTAGCAGAGTCATGGTTGAAACTTCCTTTCTGATGTAAATTTTTGTCAAAGAGACTCCCCTGTGATTGCGAATCGAGACCCACCCTGCTACTCAACTGTAATTCTTGCCCTTTCAGATGTCACACCGTATCTAACAATTCTACTGCATCACACTGTTCTTTAATTAGAGATTATTCATGATCGATGTTCACAGTAATTAATTTTTTTGAGGAATATATATTTTATTATTCATTCGACCGATCAGAGTTTTTATAGACAAAAAAACGACTCAGCAGAGAATGCGAATTAGTTTGGCACCCCCCACGGGAGATGGCACCCTCACCTCAACATCTCATTTGCTAGAGAATCACACTTGAGTGACTGAGATGCAACTTTTAATTGCAATAGCTAATTGTGTACCACAATAACTCGCATTTTGTCTCATCACAAATTTTTACTTCAACTTATGCTATGCTTCAATTTGGTTTGTCCTCACAGATGTCACAGTTCTGCTATCTTTAACGTTTTTCCTAAACATGGTAGCGGAGACCATGCCTCCAACTTCGGAAAGGCCTCTGATAGGTAACATTTGATACTCTACTTATGTTTGTGCAAAAATGACACACGAGACAAATGTCATCTGTTTGATGGATATGTCAGAGACTGCTCAGTTTGCGAGGAAAGAGCGATTAGGACCCTTGTTTTTGTCCGTTGCTACTTGGATTGCAGAGGGATAGGCAGGGTGACGTTGATCGATCCCCACTTACTGTTAGAACAACCGGGAAAAGTAGTGACAAAAAAAAAACACATCTCAAAAACCTTTAAAATATTAGAACGGTGCTGTACATAACTTAAATCAAGTGAAATCCCTCTTGCATTAATTAAATAAAATGTCTGAACCGTTGTCACTGAAGCAACGTGTGTGTAAAAAACGTTTAAATAGACAGTCGTTCTCCAATTCGCGTGCGCCGGTGTTAAATTAAATGACCAAAATTTGTGAAAAATCAATCAATCGCGAAAAACTAAATAAACCAAGCTCAACGTGTGCTGGCCGGATTTCCTCCACTAACTAAGTGCTTATATTTTATACAACATGTCTCTCTCTCTCTCTAACCCTTTTCTTGCCGCCTCAACTCAAACCTGCTCCTCCTATCCACCCGTGCTTGTGCAATCCCTCCTTTAAATAAGCAAACATGGCGATAAAATGATACCAACAATTACAATGTTCTGCATTAATTCTTGATTCTTGTTCGTTTGTACTTTATCATATATTATATGGTCTACGCAATGTGTTCTCTTTCTCTCTCACGTTTCAAGCCACTAATGCCGCATTCTCTTGCAGGGATTTGGGGCGCCGAGCAGCAATTTGAATAACATTTGAATATATACATAATGTTTCTATCTCTATATATGTACTTGATCGCTTTTCTGTGTGTGTGCGTGGAGGTGAGAGACTGTGCGAGTGTGCCGACGACGGTTTTTGCGTTGTTGCAAATAACATGTCCGGGGTGTGCGCCAAGGTAAATTTATTCCCGTTTTTGTGCCAACCCCTGCTAGCTCCCTCTTCTAGTGAGAGAGTGTGTAATACCTTAATTTATAGCCATTTAAGAACACGTGCGAAAACCACCAAGATTCCTCCCGCCCTTTCTTGTGCCGCGGGGCTCTTGCGCGTGTAAAATCGGAATAAATTTATCGACTGCGGCGCTGAAATCAAATTATAATGTAAAAGTAGAGACGCGAGAAACGCATTTAAAAACACACACACGTGTTAATGCGAGAGAGAGTGCTGGACCCTGTTGGTGCAGAGCTCGAGGATATGCCAGCAGGTCCCAGTGCTCCCATATGTGCGGCTAAAAGCACGACTTTTCCCGCCGGAAACAAAAACCAGTCTTTTCGGACACGTGCCCTTCTTGCAACTTGTACTTTTCCCGCCGTTAAAATTTACTGTTCCCCGGAGGTTAACTGTGCATATAATTTTTCACAAGAAGAGACGCTCGCTCGTAAAATGATAATTTCCAGAGAGCGAAACTCCGATTCTACGACTCGGACGTTTGAAATGATATGAGAGTGCAAAAGAAAGTTCGTGTAAATATTCATAGAAAGTCTGAATAATAACAAAACCAGTTTTAGAACGTAGCTGTACTTTCGTCCTGTGGTTTTCGCGGCAATCATAAAAGGGCAAAATTTATTTACAACAATAATTTTGTGTAAGATACACTTTTGGCACTTTACAAAGGAAAGTTTGAAAGAGATGGTAATTTTTAAATAACTAACAGATTTCGTTCCAGGATTAAAAATTTATAATAATTAATCAAACCCACATGGCCTTTCATACATAAAAGTTGCGCATTCATTATTTTTCCATAGGAATCGAAAAACCTCATGCATGACAGGTTTGATATTTTTCAAACGATTTTTCGCTCACTTTTTGTCTAGTGCATAATATATTTATATATGATTTTTTTGACCTTTTAAATTTGTAAATTATCTGCATAACTAATTCAAAGGAGGAATAATTTTATTCTCTAAATCCAATTTGATGCACCAGCAGTTATTGTGGAAAAGCTTTAACTTGTCTTACCGACGCCAGAGTCGGAATTTTCCTGCAAATTTTCTAAATAAATCCCTCCCTCATTTGAGTAAAATGTGTAAATATTAGAGTGTGTCCAATGTTTCAGGCGTTACAATTCTACTCTCATTGACGGTATTCCATAATTTGGTTGCTGAAACCCTGCCACAAGTATCCGACGCAATGCCTGTGTTAGGTACAGAAATCTAAAAAAAAACACACAAACCACAAGAATTTTTTTATATATATAATATTGTGTTACTTGCTAAAATGAAATGCAGTTTAAAAACCGTTTAAAAAAATATAAAACTTTGCGCACAAAGCTTACAAAATTCCAAACTAAATAAAACTTTAAATAGGCACACGCGCACTCCCGACTCGAGTCGTGGGTTTCGCGTGTTAGTATTTGTCTCTAGTTGTATGAACATTATATTTCACTTTTTTGCATTATTTAGTTCGATATAATTATAATCTACTCATCCTTCATTGGTCGTGTTGATGTTGATTCTTTCCCAGCACATTTGGAAGAAGGAGAATTAACACAGAGGAGGGCATTGTAATAAAAGCGAGATCAAAAATTCAGTCCGACAAGCAAGCTAAATAAACGAAATATTATCACTTTGCTGGACGATGTAACTTGCTTTAAAGGTTCTTTCATATAAAGGCCTATATCTTTGTTTCAGGGGTTACAATTCTTCTGTCTCTTTCTGTCTTTTCCCTTATGATTGCCGATGCGTTACCGCAGACCTCAGAAGCCATACCCCTACTAGGTCAGCACCCCTGCATGTATATGTGTGTGTGGACAAGAAAATTTACGTATCTGAATTTATATATACCGATTTTAATAAATATATATAAATTTGCATACTTAAATTGCATCACACACACATAGACGTATGTACATAAAAATAATGAAAAGAAATTGCAAAAAAAAGGACAAAAAATTCCATCTAACCAATCATAATAATTTAAAAATATATATCTGTCAGTTAAGTAAATATGCATAACTTTTTAATTAATTGTTTCACTTTAACTTAAGTGTCTTTAAATTTTTTAAATCAAAACAAATGAAAAAAAAATGCGTTGCCCTTCTCTCATTTACACTTCATCTTCCACTCCCATCATCCACATTTCGATTCCCTATAATTGTGCCAAAGTCAAAATATATTGCAGGGTGCTGGATTTGCTTGTGAACGTTCAAAATTTGCACCTCACACCGTCAGAAATAAACAATTCAGAATCATTCAAGTAATACACGCATCGGAGAGTGGAAATTTTTGGGGGATTAAATTTGTATGTGTCTATAAGAAAATCTTAAAATTTGATATTAAACTCGGTATTTTTAGACAACCATTAAAATTCTCAACAACTCCTTAACCCAAACAAAAAAGCCTTGGTTAAAACTAGTACCTCCTTCAAAATAATGCAACAGATCTAAACACCCGCCCATCCCAGCATTTCCTTTTCCTCGGAGTTAAAAGCATTGGGCAAACAGCCCAAGTTTCGGCCATTCCATAATTCAAACGAGCGCCTAAATGGGCGCCGCGTGAATTTTGCATGTGCTCATCCGCGCGGCGACATATTCTCTCACGAATTCTGACGCGCGCAACTTCAGTAGCGAGACAATTTTCATTGTTAGGCGGGCCACGGCGACGGCGGTGCGTCTCTTGTGCACTTCGGAGGTTTCAAACTTTGCGTGTAATTAGTTAACACCTTGGAGCATGCACCGTGTAAAGTTAAACAGGCCATAATTCACGACGCGATGCTCCCTCGCGCGCTTGCAAACACCTTTTCTAATTAGCAAAATTTACCACCGCAGTGCAAACAGCAACCGGCAGCCTCCGCCGCCCCCGCGCCAACAGTGTATCGAGAGCGATCAATAATAATTTGCAACTTGTGCAAAGGCAAACTCCATCCTAGCCAAATTTGATTACAGAATTTTTAATTTTCATATTTCCCTTTTTATTTTGTATATATAGTACTTTTTGAATACATAATAACTAAAAATACACATTTGCATATTATAAAACTAATTTTTTATTTTATCATAATATCGCAATTAAACTTTAAATTCTTTATTTTATTTATTGAACACTATATTATTATTTTATTTATTGATTACTATTTGCACAATACTCAACCCCATCAAAGCTTTAGTCTCTAGAACTTGTTACGATTTAGATAGGAAATTGAATACAAAAATTGTATTTTGTTTTCAAATTTTATCAATACCAGTTTCGTCCACATCTCTTCCAGTTGCAAGCACAATTAGAATTATGTAAAGTTTTGAATTACAATTATTACATTAAATATTTCCTGGGTTGGGTAAGTTGCGTATGACACATAGATTTTTTTTTTAATTTTATTATTTAGAGCTTAACTAAAATTATATTTTATTTTTAACTAAACAAATATTGATTTCAATCATTCATTTTCTTTATTTTTATTAACTTCTTAATGCCTTTTCCTGATCTTACAGGTGCATTGAGCGGAATTTTAATAAGATTTTATTTAAAATTTGCAAAGGAATATTTTTCCGTCAAGTAGAGAATTCAAATTATTCAAAAAAATTCTATTTTGATTGTAACTATTCCAAATTTTTCCACATGCGAAACAGAAATTCCTTTCCTTTCGAGTTTGATCCGGTTGCCCTTTTATTTAAAATTCTCTGAACCCACGACCTCTCTTGCAGTGTATTACTTGAATTGGCGCGAACTCAGTCGATTTTCCGCTTCATTAATTCGCGAGCGCAGCCGTGCATACGCATTACGTCTCCAGCTTTATGGAGGCGTTAAGCGAGAGCAATTTGGAAATTCCGCCGCCGAGCAGGTGTGTGAGTGTTTTTCTTTTCTGTTCACAAGTGAGAGCGAGGACCCTGCGTTTTGTAAGCTACTCACTCAAAAAAACAAACCAAATAACTCTGTCTATAAAATGAACAAAAAAATATGCTACATATAAGGTGAAATCTCGGAGAATGCTGACTAAAACTAAACTGCTATGCCCATAAATTGGTGTTGAGAATGAGTGTATGTTGTGTGTGTATGGAATGTGTGCCGGATGGAGAAAGAACAAAAAACTAATCGTGATGCTCTGACTGAATCTAATCTGCCTGCTCTCTAAACAACCATAAAAGGAACGTACGTGATGACTTTTAAAATAACTAACCGCTCTGTTTATTGTTTCCATATTACTCGTGCTGATGTCGTTTATTTTTCTGTGTATAAACAAAAAATTTACTGCCAGACGGATAAACATTTTGTTGCTTGTGTGGTATGCCTCACCATATAACTTTTAACATGACATAATCTCTAATCTGTGCTGTTTTTAAAAATTGTTTGTTTCATTTTCTCATACTCTAACTGGACTGGACAATTAAATTTGTGTACATATATCTTGTATCTTGTCTAGATTGGTAACTTTTGACAGCTATCGAGTTTATATTTATCTATATATACCGCTCCGTGCTAAGAGATGCCAAGAAACTGATTCATCTGCCAATGATTTAGCTAAACTAGCCTCTTAAATTTTGTTAAAAGAACTCCTCTCTTGCTCCTACTCTCTCAATTTTTATTTTTTTCAAAAGTCTTTTTGTGCCGCCATTCACTATTGACACACACATTAATCGTTTAGGACCTATTTATCTAACTGCGCCTCTTAATTCATCTTCTTTCAGAGACAAATGCAGAGTTCCTGATATTCTTCTTCCTCAATTTTGTAATTTAATTTTTTGCAGATTTTTCAACCTCTACATATAATAAAGCAATAATCCTTTGCCTTTGTAAAACCACCTCCTTCACCCTGAATAATAACTAACAAAATAATTCATTTAAAATATTTTAAACAAAAACACTCTAAAAAAGAAACATGGTCGCATGCAAAAAAAAAAAAAAAAAAAAAAAAATACAAAAAATCACCCTCTGCCTCCAAGTAACAAAGCAAATAGAAGCTTTTGTTTCGTTTCACATGCTAAAACATGATTATAAGACTGATCTATACTCAAAAAAATAAAAATTCCAAGACTTTGAACTAACAAAAATCCTGTACAATGCTCAACCAGTTAAATAACTACTTAGGGGTCACGAAATCTAAAATGGGGCGTGTCATGTTGCTAAAGAGCTGCCATGATTTCAAAAAGCCGAAATTCCAAAAACGTGCAAAATCTCGTGGTTCGTGCTTATCAAAGAGCCACAGATCATGTCATTTCAGTTTTGTCTGCTCTAACATATATAATAGGTGCACTACATCTATGTTAAAACTAGATATGCATCTGACGGGTTCCACCCCCTGACCTTAGCGAGCAATTTCTGTACAACCTGCGAATTTAGTCGAAATTGGCGATTCTTGATTAATTTCATTTCGAGTAGGAAAAATTGAATCTTTTTGCTTTTTGGCCTTTTTTCATTTTACAGAAATCGCTCTTTCTTTGTTAATTTCTTTGGGAAGCGCTCAGATTCGCTTCCACTTGTTTGTTTTCCGAACATAGTAGCCCAAGAGTTGAGTTGAAAAGATTGCTTCTACATACGATCCCTAATATTGCTATTCTGCATGTTGTTAACAACCGCAATCTTGCACTGAAATTTTTAAATGGACAAAACAAACAAAGCCAAGAAACTAATTAACAAATTTCTCCTAATCAAAAGGGAAACAAATAATAATATTTAACCATCTTCTTTAAAATGCATGCTGATAAACTATGTGACTTTTACTTGGCTAAAAATTTTAAGGCTTTCAAGGCATGAAAATTAACACTGGGATTCCACAATCAATGGCAAGAAATAGATTCAATTTTAATTAATTGTTGGAAGAGTCAGTTCAGATGAAAAAAAGCAATACCGTGTCCGTTTTGAGAGAAAAATAAAATAGCTAATCACGGCTTAAGATTGTGTCAAAAATCCAGTTTAGTTAGAACAATTATGATTAAATGCGTGTAGTAAATTTAGGCTTACAAATCAAAAATTTAGTGCCGAAACACAGTTGGTTTTATGTGCGTTTTGCTTCCTTCCAGGTACATATTTTAACTGCATCATGTTCATGGTGGCATCATCAGTGGTTTCTACTATACTCATCCTGAATTATCATCACCGAAATGCTGACACTCATGAAATGTCAACTTGGGTAAGAGAATTTTCAAATTTATCACATTCATTTTTGCAATTTTTTTTATAAAAAATTATACCCCATTGCTTCTAACGAGCACTTAAAAGCAGCAAAAAATTAGTGCATTTTCCGCCCAATTTGGCAAATCCAATGTGAAACGCATGTGGGCAGGAAAATTGGAGCGGCAGACGGAGGGGCCGTTTTGAATAGGTCTGGCAATGAAATAATAATAACGAGTCTCGCTCTTTCATTTGGAATTGTGCGGAAAACTGAAACAAATAATAATGGAAAGATTGGCGTACGTAGCCAGAGGAAAAGTCAGAAGAGCCGTTGAATTTCTAATTGTCTTTTTTTCGGCTACGGCGGCGGCGAATTCATTGTGATGAGTTTGCGCTGTCACGGCGAGCGGCGCACACTCTGTAATATCAGCCGGAGCCACGTCAAATGAAGATGCAGAGAGCTCACAGGGCCTGGAGCCATTGATCCTCTGTCGCAAACACAGTAGGCCCGGCTCGGCTCGGCTGCTCCACCAGCTCGCCCTGCCGCCCAACCAACCGACCGCCCAAGATCCATACACGCTCGCACACAACCTGCGCTTTAAAGCGGATGGAAACAAATACATGCTGTGCACGCGCAGAACACAAATTTTAAAGATTGTCAAAAATTTTAAAAATCGTTTCTTCTGACTTTACCTTAAAACTCAAAACTGGAAACTTTTTTGTTCATATAAAAATGTAATTTGCAAGAAAAAGTTTTGTTAATATTAAATTTACAGATAAACGCATTTTAAAAATTATTATAATTACAAATGTAATCGTAGATCTTTAAAAAAAACCCTTATTATTTAAAATGGTTTATCTAAAAAGTGAACTTTGAAATTTAAAGGGATTTTTTAAATATTTTATTACGGAAAAAAAATTCAAATTAATAACGAGGAGACATGCTCAAGCCTTAACATCACCTTTGACCTTTCTAATCAACGGGTTCCATTTTGAGTGGCAAAATTGTATAGGACTTTTTTAAATTATGATGAAAAATTTAATATCTATAGAAGCAACTATAAGCGCGACTGATTCAAAAAATATATAATACAAAAAATAATTAATTGTTACAGTTAAATTTATACGTATTTTATTGATTAATTCACTTGTGAAGAACAACCAAATTTCTGCTAACTTTGAATAACTCCAAATTATAAACTTCAAGAAGTTTTTTTTAGAAAGATTTGCCAATTCTCAAATTTTGGCTGGTTTAATAAAATAATATTTAAATTAATTAAAATATTAATTTCAATTCAATTTTCTTGTATAAATTTTGAAGGTACTAATTTTTGCATTCGATTTACAGGTGAGACTGATATTCCTCCATTGGATGCCATGTTTATTGAGGATGAGTAGACCTAGCGTCGAACCCGAACCGCGTAAAACGCTACAACTGAGAGAGCTTGAACTGAAGGAGCGATCCTCCAAGAGTCTTCTAGCCAATGTGTTGGATATCGACGATGATTTTCGCCACACAGGAACATTACAATCTTCAAGCACCACGGGCTTCCTTAGGGTATCGGGGGGTGGCGGGGGGCACGATGAACCGCAAATTGTGCACAACTGTATTGGGTCCCACCGAGAACTTTCGCTCATTCTCAAAGAGATTCGCGTTATCACAGAGAAGTACAGAAAGGAAGATGAGGCGGCCGAAGTGACCAATGATTGGAAGTTCGCCGCCATGGTTGTAGATAGACTCTGCTTGATAATTTTTACCCTGTTCACCATAATTGCAACGATAGCAGTGCTATTCTCAGCGCCACATATTATAGTTACATAAGGAAGAGACTTATTAACTTGTAGCGTTCGCAAAAACAAACAAAAAAGAGGAGAGAATCGAGAGAAAAAAAATTGGACATGCAACACACACACACACAAACTCACAATTTTTCGAGATATCGCGCGCGAATCACGATTACTACTGCAGAACGAAAGTCAGAGCAAGGATGATGATGCAAGAAAGATGAGAAATTGTAATCAGATATCTTTCAATTTATATAAAATTAACGATAAAATTAACATTTTTAAACTGCAGCTTAGAAGACGATGAAAAAAGACACTATACTCGAATACCACACAATTACAAGAGACGAGTCTTTTTTGGTTTGTTTGTATTCTATCACTTGTAGAGAGTGTATTTTTATCGCTTGGATAATTCAAAACCAACATCAATGCTCCAAAACACGGGTGTAAATACATACACAAATATGTGCGCTCGCGGCGCCCCCAAAAGTTCTCGCTCAGGCGCGCGTGCATCAACAATAAATTGATGATTTCAAATGATGATGATGAGAATACTTGCTTTAAAAACACGGACACAGCTAAAAATGAAGTACTTTTCTAGCGAAAAAAAAACTTAAAACAAACGGTTTGTTGAGATGCTAACACAGTTTTAGAGCTGCGGAGATTTTAAAACAAAAGAAAAGTAGCCACAAAGTGGCGCTGTCAGTTTTTCATGAGGTGTTACTAGAGTTTTTATAATTGGTTTCAAGCTGCCTTCTTCCTCAATGATTATTTATTCAAGAAAAAAATGCGATATTATGATGTTAAAAATGACATTATTAATAACTTGAAATGTTTAAAAAGCTCGTTGGCTCAATGATTGCGATTTCCCAAAGAGGAACACTGCACCCAAAGAAAAAAAACTATTATATTTAACTGCTGCTAAACTGAAAACTCAAGCATTGTGACTTGGTATTAAACAATCAATCTTAAAAAGGAAATGCGGAATCCATCTTGCAGCCACCACTGCGAAATTTATCCCTGCCTGGACAATTGTCAGCGCAAAACAATCGCGCATGGCAATTTAAACATGAGGCGATTTCTATAAATAAATAAATAAAAAGTTAAATTAAGTTTAGCGAGTTGAAGCGACTTAGAAAAAAAGAACAATCTCCATTTATACTAAAGAGAGAGATTTAATAACAAGGGGTTGCTAAGGTCCGGTTTAAAGTAAAACATAAATTTAATTAATTAATTCTGGTCCGAAATGGAAAATCCTTAAATAATATCAAAACGCCTTTCATCCGGAAACTTAGCGACTCCTAAAAACCTAAACTTGCCGAATAGTGTTAATTACATAAAAATCATTGTGAGATATATTTAAACTTTAAAAGAAAAACTAAACGAACGGAATTTATTGTGTCAAATTGAACATTTAAATCAAGGGCCAGGTCCCACTTAAAAGAATTAAAAAGTGCATTGTGATAGAATATTAATATTACAACGGATTGAAAAATCATGATTTGTTGAATAATCAATGCTGTTCAAAGACGATTTAAAACTTCTGTGCTTCGATTGTTTCCCTGCAAAAATCCACATACACACTAGGAAAGTGATCCACACAATATTATTTTTTATCTAAGTGATGCAGAAAAAAACTTATTCCACTTTTTGCAACATGAGATGAACGGAAAAACAATATCAGAGACGATAGTTCACGCAGATTTGTATGTGGTGGTAACTATTAATTATTCGTAACGCAGTTTTTTATGAAATGTCAAGCATCATGTAACAGTTATCGATGTTTTTAACTCACACACAACAAGAAGCCACGCGGACATAAAACAAAAACACATCCACACACAAACACACACACACACTCAAGGCAGACACAAGAACATTTACACGGAGAAAAAAGCAGCCAACAACACAGATACTAAAACACACTAGCACTAACGCATTTGGCAAACCAATTTTTGCTCATTCAATATCTATTAATTATGTATATTTGCATTGCGCACATTACATTGTTGCAAGAGCCAGTGGACGCTGGTGATCAGTTTTGTGAGTGGAAAACGAGAGCATATTTTATTTTAAATTTTAACTAAAAGTGCAATTCCATGGGAAAAAAATATAATTACATTGCATAAAGAATACACAGAGAGCATTAGTGTGTTGATTCATTATGTGGTGCTTTAAATTTAACTGAGGGAGAGAGAATTATTATAATTAATTATCATTGTAACTAATCACTCTCAGAAACACAAAAAACGCAGACCGTTCTATAAACCGAGGAAAGAAGTACTTAGATCAATTATAGTTGATAAAAACTATTATGCAAACTTTGAGCAAGCCCGCGCCCTTTTTGGTCCCCCAAGAAATGCAGATCATTGTGGCAAAATATTAGAAGAAGAAAATGATTAAAAAAAAAAACACTTCTCATCGCAGTATAAGCTGGCTGAGTTTTTTGGTGAATTTCTAAAAGTATATGAGCTGATGCGCACATAATTTGAAAGAGATCATCATTAATATACTTTGATTAATATTAATTAAGACAGCAACGACGACAATTGTTAAATGTATATAAGAAAAACTAATTCTCAGAGTTACATGGTACCTTTACAGAAATTTAATCAGATTGTCAAGTAAAATCTTTGCGGAAAGGAGGAATTTAAATTTAACGAGCAAGCGTGCATGTGGATCCGCGCAATTTTCCCCTTGATTTCCCTCTCTGCCCTGCTTTGAAAGTCAATGAGTCAATCGATCAAATATGGAAGAAAAAAATAATGAGATATTTATAATATCATTTCGAGCTGTGTGCCAAAATGGAATTTTTCCACCTACCTTTGTCGTTACAACTCAGTGTGCAGTGCTGAATTATTCCTTTTGTGTAACCAGTCGCTTTTGTTCCGGTGACCTGTGAAACAAAAATGATTTTTTCCAATTCAGTACTGACAATTATGTGAGCAATACCGAATCTGATTGCAAAAGATATTGAACAAGAAGTGTTCCGAGGAAACAATTTGTCTCTAGTAGAACAGACTTTGTAGGTTTTAGTGTGTGCGGCTGGGCGTTTGGTCCTGGACTTACGAAAAATAACGAGCTGGACTCTTTCACAAGTGCATTTTTCGTTGTTCTAAAAGAGTAATTTAAATATAAAAAAAAAATGGTAAATACTAAAAAAAAAAATCACGTCGGGGGCGCTCAAACTTAACTTTTAACGCAAGAGAAATCCCCCCTTTCGAATGCATTTATATTGTTGTCGTGCAAGTTTTTCATATATGAATGTGCATAAATAACATACATAGAGATGCACTCGTGAAAAATCCGCGAAGTGCTGTCGAATCAATCACAATCAGATACGGTAATTAGCGTGTAATCCAAAAATCATCCAAGTTGTTATTATAATTATCTCCATCTCCATACATACACAAATATATAACAGAAAAAGAAATCCACTGACACACTACTTGAAACTTGTTGAACACTTTCGATCTCGCTGTACAAAACACGTGACTGCGAAATTATTCCAAACTGTGTTACTCAATATACCGAACGGGACTAATTTCACTCGCGAGAGTTGGAAGCGTCTTGTTTCCTCTTACTGCACCGTTTGTGCGTGCAAGAAAATAATCCCACCATCACACAAAAGAATTCTCGCCCCGCCCACAAATTTTCACACAAATATACACATGAAACATTTTGAAAAATTCAGTGAGTGGACAAGAAGAGCAAGCAAGATAGTGTGTTTATAGTTGCTGTGAAAGTGCGTTTGTTGATGATAGAGAGACTCGATGATGAAAATTTTGCTCTTCATCGCCACAATTATAGAACTACCCAGCAGCAATCATCAGCTCAAGGTAAATGGGAAAGGAACATTCCGCCTCCAGCGCGCGGTGGAAAATATTTTAGATTTACCTGTCATCTCATTTACTATAAAATACGATTGCAGTTGAAATATATATATACAATTCCATTCACATTATATACATTTTTGCGGCGACGAGAATGAAAATTGAAAAATGAATCATCGCAGTATCGCACACGGAATATTATATTATTATTATGATCATCGTTCTGGTGAAGAAGAAAACGCGAGGTTTCTTTTTCGCAACTTTTATCTACACATCTCAATATTTTCCATTCGTTTTCAACCATCTCGTTTTTTATATTGCATCATTGCGATTGTACTATAACATTAATTGTTACTAATAATACTGTTATTACAAGTACCTCATTAAACATGAGTGTTTTGGTTACTTGAAAACAGTCACTCTTTTCTTATTTACATATCCGCTTTGCCGAAAATCAAAAAGAGTCGCAGGAAACACACGCTATAATAACTGGCAGTGCATATTCACACATTGGACAAATTTTAAATTTGCAAGAACAAAATAACTTTTACCCCTCTGATGAGCTTTTATCCACATTTTTACATCTCAATAAATGAAATTATTAAATTTAAAAAAGGTCCCCCAGTCCGTTTAATGCAATCAGATGGGACGACGTACTGCCAAATCAGATGACAATGCATTTTTTATATTAAAAAGTGGAAACAAAAAATGCAGTTGTAGTAAAGATGATGAAACTCACATATGAAGCACTGATTCTCAACATTTTCAGATGATTTGATTTATTTTTCGCACGTTTAATTTTGATTCTCACTAAACAGCTTGATCGGTTTTGAAATAAATTTAAATCTGCACAGCATGGGACACACAGACAAGCACTCACACACTCTCTGCCGAGAACACACGCCACTCTTTAAATAAAAAAAAATATTTCTAAATCGATGTGTAGCTTTGACACTTTTGAAAGTTATTTATGTGGATGTTGTCAAATTAATTAACAACTAATATTTAGGAACGGAAGCTTAAACTAAAAGAAACGTGTAAATAACTAAAGTTTATAGTCTTGGTGTTTTTTTCAATACTCTATATACACTTCTTAATTAAGATAAAAAGTACTTGTGAAAATGGTGATATTCCGCGCAACCGGCTCAACGCAAAGCATCTCAACAAATGCGTACTTGTGGCTTGTGGCGAAAACGATTTAAGAAAAAAGAAAACGATAATTTGTGAAGCGACGACAGACACTCCGTGGAGCAATGTTGGAAATTCATTCTAGCGCTAATTCGTAGCTTTTTGAGTCTGCTAGCTTTGGAAAAATAATTCATGTGTGATTTTTGCATCAAACTGTGGGAACGTTTAGCGAAAAAAAGAGAGAAAAGTTGCTTATATAAATAACTTCTTTGGTGTCAAAGTCTTACAAAAGTGAATATTCTGATGCTTCGTGCGTCATCTTAATAATTAGTATTATGAAAACGAACAAACCAACACACTTACAAATCGACACACACGTGGCTAACACACGACACATAACACTACACAAGTTGACAACACACAGACACACACACGCAAACTTGCCTCAACACTCTCTCAATGAATTAATTAACCATCGAATAATTAATTAATCATCACTTCTCACTTGCCATTAAACCTTGCCCATAAACTCATTAAAAAAGAAACTTGCTTGAAGTGTTTCCTCCTGTAAAAGTAACTAAAAAAAATTCACGGTAAAAGTAAATAAAAAAATTCCTTCCCAGGATTTTCTTCGTGACAATGTGAAATAAGCAACAGGGACTGCCCCAAATTTCTTGACAATCCATGCTTATAAGGAAAAATGGCTTTACCTGTACAGAGTTCTTGATTTGTGGCTGGTTTCTTGTTAAATTATTAAAGTATATGAGTAGTTCAGCGCGGTATTATACAATTTAAACATGACAAAAAAAGAAAGATTTAACGCAAAGCAAAGAGCGATATTACGAGGAAAAACAATGTGATCTGCATTTTTGGATTGTGTAACTTTTCTGGTTGAATGTTTAAAAAGTAACCTAGACTTTGTTTGAGTTGCACCTAATTAACAGAGAGTATGTATACATTGTAACATGTGATTTAAATAAAGTTTGTAAAGTTGACACGATAAAAAATGATAAAAAGCAAAACGCGGAAACTGAAAAAGCTAAAACTATTTATCAAACATTTGAGAATTGTTTAAAAATAATAAAAAAACCAAATGAAGAAACTGAAGAACGTAACCAACAAATCATGTGCAAATCGATTGCGCGGTTAATAAACACGAAGCTCAATTTTTATCAAACTTTTGGTTAATTAATTAAATAATCGAACCACTTTGACGCCTCTCCCTAAATAACTAACTCTTCAACTATGCACCCGGTCTCGCTAATTCGTTGCCTTATATCTAAACACCTGTTTGTGCGTGTTCCTAAATAATTTTGATGTTCTCTTTCAATAACGGCTTGTGTTAAACCCCTGATTAATAATTTTACACATAATTAACCGACAATTACTACTATACTTCTACATGAATTAGGAGAGCATTAAACGAATTACTAAAAAACAGACACAGTGTCTCTTACGCAATAAACTTTTAAACCAATTACTCGCTCTTATAGAAAACTAAACGAAGGAAAAAAATACAATGAGAAATCTCTCTCAACACACATATAAATATACACGATAATTTTTCTAATGAATTAATTAATAAGACGAATGAGAATTCGATGTTTCAAACGACAAGACATGACAATTTTCTCGCCGAATGAGAATAATGTAATACGGTGGTAAGCGTATCAAATAATTATTATCGTGGTGTGTCTCACACAGTTTATTATTAAAAAAAATGATCCAAAGCGTAGACACACTCACACACGGACACTCACACACCCACTTTGTAATGATGCTAACGTAAGATAGAAGTTTGATTGTGAGGCCCTTTCCGTTCAATCAATCAATCAATCAAATAGCGGCGTGGCGTTATTTTTGATAGTAGAGAGGTCTCATCAATTATGGACGCGGCTTGAACCTAACTTAAGACTTGCTTTACTCATTTATTTTTCGATTTCCCTTTCGAAGTGCCAAAAAAGTCAGGTATGATTTTTCCGAATAAGCTGCCAATCAGCCCGGACGCGAGTTGCAGCAGAGTCGGCGAGCGCAAAACTTTTGTAAAAGCACTTTTTCAAGAGCGTCAGCCGTGGCTCTGCCGATGACACTTCCGGGACGAAGAACCTAAATAGAGTTGTTAAAAAAAATTAAATTTGGTGCTGGATGCTGGATTGCGTAATTAATTAAAATGAGATTTTAAATACAGTAGTCTTACAAAACAAAACTCGTCGGTTAAATAATTTGTCTAAACCACTCGAATAAGTTTAGAGTATAAAATATATTTTTGTTTTTATTCTTCCAGAAAAGAAAGAACAACCCAACTGTTTAAACATTTGTTTGGTTATGCATTCATTGGGTAGAAGGAATTCAGTCACTAATTTGAACACTAGTTAAGTTGGTCATAAACTGAGCAGTTGCATTTGGCAGGTGGTGATGCTTGTTGCTCAAATTTAGTCCAAATATATTAGTATAAAAAAAATGATGATGAAACTATGGAATATCTGTTACCCTAGCTTGTAAAAGAAACGCGTGTTCTCAGATTGCTTTGCACAAAAAGGATGAAAGAGAGACGAATTGCGAAGAGAGCATTAAAGTTGACGACAAAACAAGAAAAGCCGAACTCAATCCCTCAGCAGTCTCAGTCGGTGCAAACTTTGTTGCATCGCCCTATAATATAAATTCCATCTATCATCATTACAAAAACAGTTGTAATTTACCTTTCGCTCTTGTAATGATTTCACTTTTCCTTTGCTTGTGACCTCTTTTTCTCACCGCATTTAAATATTTTCCTGAACCCTACTGCATATCGTTAACAAAACCTGATGATGAATTTTTTCCTTTTGTAAGACTAAAAACGTAAAAAGAGTATTATACATGCAATTAAAATTTGATAAGAATAAAATCTTTTTTGCACAAAGTAAATAACGACAGCTTTATTTTAAAGAAGATAATAAAGATAAAATAAATGATGACATTGTTAAAGATTGTTTGTTGTGTTAAAAAAAATAAAAATCGATTGTTGATTACTAATTGATTGTTTTTCCAAACATCCTCTCATTAAACTTTCTAAACCACACTAATCGACGATCGTAGCCACTGCCCTACTAAAAAAAACTCCTTTCCATTTTCAGTTTTTGTTATTTAAAATAAATTCCTCTAACCACCTAATAAAAATTAAAAAAAAAAATCTATAGGAAAAACATAAAATAAAAATCTTCAGTTCGGTTTATTCAGAATTTGTGTGAAACGCCAGGATTAAGGAAAATAGTTTGTTGAGAATCACTTCTGTTGTGAAAACATCTTCAAGTTGAGAAGCTGCTTCTGTGGAATTTAAATAGTTGCAGAGAGATTAAATACAAAATAAGAAGAATTCCCGGTATATTGATTGTTTGAATGAAACATTCGTCACCTCTGAACGTGCCAATTTTAAAACAAGCCAATTTTAATTATAATTTTTACTTTGATTGGAGGCAGTTGTCTGCAATTGTGAAGTGACTGCAGATAAAAGCGACTGGCCCGACGGTTGTTGTTTTTTAGTGGCGCTATTCATTATCAGCTATACACTCAAGAAAAGACATATATATTGATCTCCAGCGGTCGCAGACTTTCAGCAGACTTAAAGCGAGCACATCAGAAAGAGTGGAGCCCCGTTCGCTGTGCCTGCCTTGGGTGTGGCAGGTGCTTTAAATACACTACTAGAGCTCACGGTGAGGAGCAAACGCCGTGTTAATGGTCTTACGAGTGATGATGTGATTCATAAGTATGCAGCCCGCTTCGACGATGTGCTTGGCGCGTTGCATACCTGACGAGGGGCCTTATAAAAATTTATGAGAGGAATTCCTTCTTTCTCTCGCTCTCTTTTTTATTATTGTTTTTTCATTTCACGTTTCTCTCGCACGCGCAGATTTTTTCCTCGTTCTCTGCACCAGCAGCCGGCCGCCTTTGATTTACAACTTCAGAGTGGATTTGCTTTTTTGAGATTTAAGGGCAGTTAGGGAGCTATTTGTTTAATATTTTCCTCACGCACTTGATTTCGCCCTTTCAAAATCAAATGAAGCAGAGAGCGAGAAAGTAAGAAGGGAAGTTCTAAAGTTTTTTCAGGGCACCAGCGCGAATCTAATGACATTCAGCTAATGGCGAAACTTGGAATTAGAGAGGCCGCGACTATGATGAAGTTAGCCGCCGGCATTAAATATAGAAACGGCTTTCAGCAAAAGTTCAATAATCTTAGTGACGTCATTGGTGATACGAGTATGAGCCGGCAGCCCGGAAGTCGGCCTGCAAAAATGCAAAACCTCTGTATGTCGGCCGGGACTGCAAAACGTGTAGTGCTGAAAGAGAGATCGAGGTAGGCGGCGGGGGCGGCAGAGAGGAGGCGGCAAGGTCGGGGCCGGAGCGAGTTATCCGGCGGCAAACGAGCGCGATCGCATCGGCGGCGCTCTTCAAGAGGGCTCTGTCATACCCCTTCTTGCAGTCGATAAACGAGTGCGGAAGACCAACCCCAAAGGAACATTCCATGGTGTTGGCGGATAAGCCGAGCCAGGCAGGCAGGCAGGGAGAGCGCAAGAGGAGAGGGAAAGAGGGAGCCAGCGAGCGAGCGAAGCACTTAGTCTGCCTGCGCGTTTGTACTTTGTGCATTATTAACTTTGAGCCCCGGGTCTGCGCCAGTCCCGATACTTGTCTTCGTTTCTGCTGTGAGTGCCGGTGCGTCCGTCGGAGGCGCTGCGCGCGCGCGGCCGACTTTAACCCCGTTCGTTCGCTGGGTGGCCGAGTCGCCACCCTCATACCCCGTTCTCTTTCTCTGGTTTCAACAGCTTAGTTTGGTTGTCGCACCGCAGCACCAGGATTTTTCGTTTTTGAGTTGTTTGCGTGCCCGGTAAACGTCCGATTTTGTTGCCTTTTGCCAGCGGGACCGCTTCTCTTTCTCTTTCTCGATCGGTTTTGCTTTCCGTACGGCGGATCAGCGCCAGCCAGCCAGCGATGCAGTGCCGTGAGCCAGTGTGCAGGCGAGTGGTGTGCGGGGCGGACGCGGCGGCGGCAGACACGGCCTCCAGACCCCATGATTAGAGAGGCGGTGGCCCTCTACTGCGGCGGACGTTCTGCTCAGTGGTGTGGTCTCAAGACCAAGAAGAAGGTTAGAAGGGTCAACGACAACAGTTGAGTCGGCGTTGTGAGCTTATTTCCATTTCTGTAACCTAACAACTAAACCAAAAACTTTTATTACTCAATCTCTCTGCCTGCCAGAGAACTAAAAAAACACTGCTAAAAACACTAACCGCAACACCTCTGACTGTGAGACGGATGCTTAACTAACTCGTCACGCTCCGGATAAAATATCTCGAGAATGCAAATGTCGTGCGGCTAAAAACTCTAAATACCTCCTCACTCTCCTCTCCGTCTGTCTCACGAACCTCTAAACCACTCTAAGCAAACACTGGGGCTCGGACTTCTAAAAAAACATCCAATTGCTAAACCAAGTGAATTTAAATAGAAACCAAATCTATACAAACTCAAGTTAATTCTCTAACTCGGTGTGTCTGATTGATATATACTCTCTGGTGAATATATCTCTCATGGTAATTACTGTCCTGGGTCATTGAAGGGGCTATTTGAAATTCACGTACACTTCTGCAATGGCCGCCTAAGAAAGCGAACGCGACGCCGACCGACCCAATCTCATGGCAGGCACCGTTGCAGCTCTGGTTGTGTTTTGGCAATGACGAGAAGCATAATCGACTTCGACAGCCCCCTCCTCTGCCTCCGAACACCATCGCGGCCAGGTCAGCATCTGCAGCCGCAAAAGCGAGCTTCGCCAAGCTAACCGCCCCCAGGACCATGTCGGTCCTGGTTTCGCCTTTTGCCACCCTGCTCTCGTCTTTGCTGATCCTGCTGTGCATCTTTGTGTTGCCCGGTGAGTATCTCTGTCTGTTTGTCACCCGAGCCGACCCACCCGTTTTATTAGCAATTTGTCATACACGCGCGCTGCTCTTTTTGCTCGCGCCTTTCCGCCCCTGAATTTGGTCGGTTGTCGCGAACCGACGGAAGGGCACAACATGTGCTCCTCCGCGCGCGCTCTCTCTCGCTCGCTCGCTCGCTAGCCCGCCCGTTTAGTTATTGATTTGTTTCAACGCTTTATTTTGTGCGTTTCTCGATGCAACTCGCTACCCCCGAGATGTGTGCGCATCTTTCCACCACGACCGGAATATTATACTTTTCCAAAGCTCCACGATGGCAAAACTCTCTGATGTGTCCAACCTACTTGCTAATATTCTTTGAGTTGCTCTTTTAATAGGCCAATTTGGCGTTATTCCGAGAAACGCTAGCGCTGCTAATGACGGAAAGCTGATGAAAAATGTTGCCCCATATCACTGCAAATAATGCAACCGAGAGCATTGCACAATTAAGAAAAAATCTTGTTTATGATTTTCGCTGTTACGTAAGCGTTAAAAAACTGCTATGCAGAAGGAATTAGAATTTATGAACTTGTTCCGGAAAATTATTAATTATAGCGCCGGCTTGAAAAATATATTTTAAAAACAACCATTCCCTGCACAATTTTCTTTTAAAATTAAATGTATCAAATTTTGTCTAGTTAAAATATTTATTCATTCCTTACATTCAATTAAATCATGATTACAAAACAAAGGACTAACAAATTTTAAAAATTAAAAGCTAAAATTTTAAATTTAAGATTATGATTGCTGTGTTTGCAATTATAAGTTTATCGCTGGTTGGCACCAGAAGAGCATTTCAAAACTTTCTGATTTGGTGCATTCAAACTAAAATTAAGTTTTGTCGTAATTTGTTTGCGTTTAAAAATATTATTTTTTCATATCTATCTTTAATTAAATACATACAATTTTATGATATTTATATTTTTTGTAAATAAATACTATTATTAATAGTATTGTTACAATTTAAATTATATAATTTATGCTCCATATTCTCCAAAATCATATTTAAGAGAAGAAAAATTTACTATTTATATAGAAATTATTATGATATGCTTATTAAAATAATTCTCTGATTGTTGGCGAACGTCAAATGGGTCTTCGGTTATGTTTGGATAAATTGTTCTAAATTATTTTGTAACTGCAAAAAAAAATATATATATATCCAAAATAAATATTGTACATTTGATGAGGTGACCATATCTACACTAGAGTATGCAATGTAATAAGGAGAGAAACCTTGAAAAATTACAGTTGTACGGCTATTTGCTTGATGCGGATCGGTCGATTTGTTCAGTTTTCAAAGCAATAAGCGCCAGTCGGAATGTCTGGCGATGAACACTTAAAAAGATCAGACATGTCGCGCCGACTGTGCTCTCTGATGCCACCTCCGCGAAGCCATAATGATATGAGGAAATGGAAGAATGTGTGTATTCTTGTTTTTGCTGTTGTTATAAAAGCGGCGGTTTGTTTCAAAGCATTTTCTCTAATTAACGCCGCGGTCGCCGAAACCCTTAAAAATGCACACGCCCATAGGAAAAACGGCGGCTCGCACTCCAGCCCGTTTTTTCCTCTCCAAAGTACTCAAGCGGTAAAATTTATCACGTTTCCCCCTCGTGCTTTTATCGAATCAAAAAGAAGTAAAGCAAAAAAGTTCCCCCTATCTGGGTCAAATTTCAATATCGTGCAGAGCAAAAGTTGGACCGCGTAGAAAAAGTAGGAAGAGTCAAGTGAGTAATTGTTATTGTCGCAGGAAAAAGTAGTCGCTTGTTTTGTCCGAAGGGCCCCGAGTTGTCCGACAGAAAATATCTCTTCGTAAATTCGTGCGGCGCGCAGGTTGCCTATTCTGCGACTCGGCATGCCTGTGGAGGTATTAATCATGATAATGCAGCAGCCACGGGGCTTGTGCGCCGTCAAGGAACAGCCTCTTCATGGTTTACGGCCTCAGTTTACGAAAAATGGCATGGGGCACTTGAGGACCCGCCCGTCCTCCGAGCTGCCCTAACAAAAAGTCAGAAATAATGCTGACTCGCCCGAGCTGCTGCTTTTTCGACGCAAATTTGCGGCGCGGCAACAATGGATTCGGTGCATTCAAACTAAAAGAAAGCGCTTCTTCTATTGTAAAGCATTTTTTTTTTTAATTTTGAATGCGTTGATTTTTTTTGTTTCATATTTCCCATATTTATATCAAAATATAATGATAAATATACAATTTTTGTGTAAAAGACTAGCTAATATTACTATTATTGTTAAAATTTAAAACATTCCATAATGCTCCATGTTCTCGAAAATTTTATTTAATTTAATTGTGGAAAAATTAAATATTTAAGTTATTATGATGAGCCGATTAAGATCATTTTCTGATTTTTGACTTTAGTCGAATACAAACATGGTTTTGTTAGAATTAAATTGTGTAAGTTGTTCTGGTGGGGAATTGTTTTGTTAAAAACGATGAGTTGTTCTGACCAATCAAAGAAGAGGAGCCACTTCTACCATTGTGCTAGGGGAAATTTTCCAGGAGGGACCTAATTAAATTATGATTGACAATATAAGAGGCTGAGCCTGCGGATAATATAATAGGTTCTATCTATAAAAATTCCAAAGATAAAGTTGAATTTTTAACAAGATGATAAGTCCGTCAAATTAATTATTAATGTAAACAAATTTAAAGGTAGAAAAAATAATAAACGGTCTTGTCGATTTGATTATTCTGTAAAGAAAACCTCATAGACATCAACTTAAATGGTAAAGCTAAACAAATCTTAAAACTTTTTTATTTTATCCGAAAAATTTAATGTCATGGATTCAGAAACTGAGCGAGAAAAACAGTTCTCGGAAAACAAATAGCAATGTCCGAATTTCAACTTTTAATTTGAAATATTTCACAACACAAAAACAGATTACAAAAAAACATCCACATCAATAATAATTCATTGACAACTTATTTCTATATTAATCCTATTAATCATGAAATCAAATTAAGTTTTTTAACTATTTTACTACTCAAACATTTTCCTTGAAACCCATTTACTTAGTCTTTTATTTAAATAATTGTATTTATCTATGGTTCGTGGAATGTTTTGCTGAAAAATCAAAATCATCATTTAAACAGAATTTTTAAAATCTGTTTTTGATAAGCATTGGAAATTTAAAACAGCAGCGATGATAGATTGAAAAAAATTATGAGATATCGTTTAAAGTTTCTTTTTTTAATATAATTGCAGAATTAACTTAAATTTTAACTTTATATTTTAAGGCGTTTCAATTGATCAATCTTATTAAAACAAAATAAAAAAATTTGAAAGGGGGCATCGCTACTCTCCTCTGATTGGCCGGAACAACTCACCGTTTTTTAATGGAACAACTGACCGTTTACCGCACCGACGGTTATTTCCGAAACAATGACGCGCAACAATTGCCGCGCTGTTGTATCGCGAGAAGATTTTATCGTCGCTTCAACAATGCGGCCGTCGCTGCTGAAATTGAGTATCGATTGATTGTTACGTGACGTCAAACGCAAAATCGGAGGAGCCCCCGCGCGCGCGTTTTTCCTCGCTGCGCCACCACTTTCTGAGGTGCTCTTCACTATGTACCTGCAAATTCGTTTTTTCTTTCAATCACATCTGTTTTTTCATACCTTGTCGATGGCGTTTGACTTACGGTACCGGTCGACACCGCTCCGATAAGGAGTTCATTTTCCGTTTCCACCTCTTCGTAGCTCTCTCAGAATTTTTTAAAACACACACCTTCTGTTTCTGTAAAGTAAGTTTTATCAAAAATTATTGTCAAGATGTAAATGAAGATCTCACCTCTGCCGGCCGCCATGACTTCGAGGCCCTGGTCCGGTGAATCCAGTTTTGGCAATTTTATCGTCGATTATCGCGACTACCGCCGACTTTTCCTGGCACTAAGTCATCTCACAACACTTAATAAACTCATAAAAATCACTTTCAAGACCTTTTCAAAAGTTTCTGGTTGCAAAATAGCATGAAAGTGGCACTGTGACATAATAAACACGCGTTTCTCACGACTTGAAGTGTTCACTGATTTGGTGCTTTGGTGGTAAACAACAATGAACGCTATTGGTCGACCAGTCACGTGACTTTTACAAGTCATCTGTGCAATCATCTGTTAATTTCTGTTAAATCATAGAGTGGCCCCACATTTTTCAGATGGACATTTTTCAAGGATTTCAACAGAAATCGTGCTTCTAGACTTGAAATTTTTTTAAGTGATTTTAATTGTGCAAAAACCCGATCAATTTCGAGCGGAGGCCGCGATCGGCAGTCATGGGTAGGATTTTCCTGCCTCAAAAGCTCCAGAAAAAATCACTCGTCCCTCTGTGAGTGAAAATTAAATAATTTTGTTTAGGGCATACTACCTTTCACAGACCATCCTGAAATTTAGAGCACTTCTTATAGCATTCAAAATTTTATTTATAAAAATCTTAAAATGGTATAAAAAAAGAATTTGTTATCCACCGTTTTCTAGTGAAATTTAAAAAAAAAAAATTTTTTTGATGCTCCTCAAATTTCTTTATGATTATTTTCTGTGTTTAGCAGATTTAGTTATAGTAATTTAATTTTGTAATTTTACTGCTTATTTATTCTGTAAACCTTGATAAATAAGTGGTCTAGCTTTTGATATCAAAGAAGCGTCATAATTTTCAATATTTTCAATGCCAGTCAAATTTTAACATTTCAAAACGCCACTTGCATTTTAGGAAATAACGAATAACATTTTATTTTAATTTGGTTTATTTAAATCATTCAGTTACGGAGTATAAAATAATATTATATTTTTTTAATAAAGTAATGGTAAATAAGTCAATGACCTGAATAACCTCAGTTTTATGTAAAAATCCCGATTTAATTTCCCCTAATTTACGAATTTTTATATCACACCTTTTAGAAAATTGGTTAGGGCTGTTGTAAGTAAACTCAAATCCATAATTATTTGATTATGTAAAAAAAATTAATTTGATAAACAACCCCCACCATTGAAAAAATTAGACTATTTTTCTCTATATTAGCTTTGAAACTAAAAAAGCAATATGAAATATTTTGTATTTTAAGCTCTCTTGTCATGCAGTTCAAGTTTTTTGCGGGCTCACAGGAAAGCTGCTTTCCTCCTAGCTCACATTTTTTGCAGCGGGCGTAAAATGAGAAAATTCTTTTGTTGTGCCTGTCTGATGCCACGTTCCTCACATCAGCAGCCACCTAAATTTTTACGAGAGCATTTTTCGTCGCCGAGCATTCTCTTTCTGCGCGCTGCAATAGAGCCACTTTTTCCAGATCTGGGACGCGCGCGACGCCCTCAATTCCGCATGCAGATTTCCCAGAAACCTAGCTCTCGTTCACAAACAAGAATGTAAATTTCTTTTATGGCCGCAATCGTGTGTCATTTCGTGGAGTCGCAAAAAAAAGATAGGATTCACTCGTGCCGAGGACAATATGTAATTTTGCAAACATGTGCGATTCAATTTCGCTCTCGGTGCGAAAAACGTTTCACCCTTCAAAAAGAAAGAAAGAAATTTGCATAAGGAGTCGTTACAAGCCGCATTTGCAGGCTAAAAAGAAACGAATTTTAAGAGCTCTCTCTCCCGTCTTTTCAGCTTTGACACGCGCGAGACTCGGGAACAAAGGAAACGCATAATTAACCGGTTCGGAGAAGTTCAGCAATAATCGTTAGCCGATGCCGAAAAGGATGCAATGACAAAAGAACAACATCTTGAGGGCTTAATTATGTGTCGCGCGCGTGCCTCGCACCTGCACCGATTCCCGGCCGTAAACTGGTGATTAGCAGCCGCCCTTGTTCCGCCGCAGTCTCCGGCTTAATTCGGCGCTTAAATGCAATTAAAGACGAGCGATCGATTCCTCCCTGCTCATGCCACACTGCCCCCGACGCAAAATTATTCGCCTTTACGAGCGTGTTAAAATTTTTTATTGGTGTCGTTCTTTGTATTTACGCTTGTTCTTCTCCTTCTTGCAGGCTATTGCTCAGAGGACGAGGAGCGGCTGGTGCGAGATCTCTTCAGAGGCTACAACAAATTGATCCGGCCTGTTCAAAATATGACACAAAAGGTGGACGTCAGATTCGGCCTCGCATTTGTACAACTTATCAATGTGGTGAGTGACTTTTTTTCAAATAAAAGTCTGAAATTCTTTTTTTTGCACTTCTTAAAATTTTATTGCGGCAAATGCACTACGAGTGCTTCTGAGTGAGATCAATAAAATCGGGCATCAGATTGCGATGCCTTCTCTTCTCTGGATTACGCTAATGCCAGCATTGCAGTTTTACGATCCACATCTGACATAAAACCGTTATTTTCTGTTTCAGAACGAAAAGAATCAGATCATGAAGTCCAACGTTTGGCTGAGATTGGTGAGTATGCATGTTTTCAGGGATATGCTTGTGCACGCTAATTCATTTCCACGCCATTCCACGCTACGCTAAAAATGAAACAAAAAACACAATTATTTACTGAGTATGGCAATTCTGCGTTTCTTTATTGAAATTACAATATATAATTCTGGTTTGTTGGATGACAAGACCAGAATATTTCTCTCTCTAGAGGAAAAAATAAATTAATTGAAAATTCCTTTTCTTTTATAAAACTTAACTCTCCTCATCTCCTCATGTCCTCATCAAAAGACTCTCAACTAGTTTTGGACACAATCAGCCCTATTTTTAAAACAACACCGTATAATAACACAAAAAAATCTTAGTTTTGCAAAGGTTGACACATCAACAGAAATTCTTTACCCATTACAAAATTTTGTAAATTTTCATTACTTTTATTTACATAATTTCTTTTTCAAAATTTGTATAGTAGATGAATTATATTTGGATATTTGGGTTTCACCATTGTAAAATTATTATTTAATTAAAATATTAATATTGTTTTATGAAAACGTAGCATCCTTTTTTTAAATGAAAAATTTGAATGTGTTTTGATATTCGACTCGAATTTCCTATCATAACTTACTTGCCCTACTGCGCCAGTTTGCTATCGCAATTGTAGGTCACAATTAGTCGCATCTCTCAGATTCTGCGGTTGTTTGTACTCTTATGTTGATGTCTCAAGTTGTCCCTCAATGGAGGAACGCGCGCGTGCCTAAGCAACAGTTAAATTGAGCCGTTCGCGTGAACATTTTAACACATTTCTCAATGGCGTTATGCACGCGACGTGACGACCGAAACTCGATGTCAGTCCGTCACGAATGTATGCAACACGCAACAACACACCGGTTGCATACTCATAAAGGCGGCGACGGCAGTAAATTAAATTTATCGCAACACTCTCCCACCATTCTTCGCCAAGCTTAAGAACTCCTTACGTATGGAGCTCTCGAGACGCCCGAAAACGGGCAGAGTCTCGCGATTAATTATGTACTTCGCCTTTCCGGATTTATTCGGGGTAGTAAATTTTGGCTCTCTTCGGAATTAAGGTTGCTGAGATTTTCAATCTTTGTGCACAGTTCACTGCAACCGGCACAAAAGTAAAATTTACAATTGCTAAGAGAGTAAATATTAATTCTAGTTTGAATATTATTTACAATTAGACTTGTTTTCTTTTATTCCCAATTAAATTGCACTGTATTTCAAAATTGCCGAATCAGCAGGAAGAAGTAGAATGTTTAAATTTGTTTGTCACTTGTCAAGATGATATTAAATATTACCTTTTGCTGTATCTAGAAACTTCAACTGTGGCACTTTTAATTCAAAATTTGACTGCAAGTAGTTTTATTAATTTATTTCAACCATTTTTGTTTAGAAGGTCACAGTCAATTTAAAAAAATAACGATAGATTAGCCAAAAGAATATAATTTAAATAAGTGTTCTGAAATTAATCTGTAAATTCCTCACTTTCAGAAGCATTTTTTCTATTGATCAATTCCTAATAATATACAATCACACAATTCATCAGCTTTTGTGGCAGTTAAGATAATATTGCACCCATTTTATTTTTTATTTATATTAATTATAACTAAATTTTTTGCATCCTTTTTGTTTCCACCTAATTTATCAAACGGAAAGTTGCACAATTGCTTTCACTATTATAAATTAGACCCTCTCTCAACTGCCATTTCCAGCTTGACACAAACCTCGGAATGTCCCCCTTGCACAGAACGGTTAGGTGAGCATACAGATTGTTTGCTGTCAGAGTGTATATCACATCAATCATTCTGTTTGCCGCTCTATTATTTTCACAAACTCGTCCATCTCGTTTGGTGTAACCCTTGCAACAATTAGTTACATTCAATAGCCGCCGACAACAAGTGAGAGTGCAGTTTCTGCGGCGCAATTAAAATTAATACCAGCATCGGTGGAATTTGGGCGACCGACCGACCGCCCACAAAACTTATTTGCATGTCGTGTTTTGGTTGTTGGGGCGTAATTACCAGTTGCAAGCAAGCAGGCCATTAAGTTTATATACATAATACTTATCGGGGCGTACCTGCGTGTGTTCCAGGTCTGGAGCGATTACCAGCTGCAGTGGGATGAGGCAGATTACGGTGGCATTGGAGTACTAAGACTTCCTCCAGACAAAGTTTGGAAACCAGACATTGTACTCTTTAACAAGTGAGTATACACGCTGCTCGGGGACGGCACTTTCCCCAAATTACTTTTCTTCTTCTTTTTACGAGAGAGAGGCGCGAAATGTCCTTTGTCTCGAATTTCGAAGGTCTACGTGCCTCTCCTGGTGGCGGCGACCTGATGAAATATTCACACGTGAATTTTGGTGTGTGTTTCAGTGCTGATGGTAATTACGAAGTTCGTTACAAGTCCAACGTGTTAATCTACCCAAATGGGGAAGTTCTGTGGGTTCCACCTGCCATTTACCAGGTGAGTAGCGAAACGAGCGAGAGGAGCAGCCGCACAAGTTGCAACACTTCTTCTTTATTATTTGCTCCACTTTTTCTCTCTGCAGCAGTAGCACGAGACGTGGTCGAGAGAGAGCGAAAGATGTATGTGTGTTGGGAAAGAAAATAATGCTGCTGCCACTTTTAAATAATAATCTCTTTTGCGTTTTGTTTCGCAAACACGGTCTCGCGAGTTGGTCTAATTATGCGCATAAATCTCGCCGCTGCAACTTGCTTTAAATTGTGTTTTTATATCCGTGTTACTTGCGGTGTAACCAACTCGCGCAACGCTTTTGTTTTGCCGCAAATTTTCCAATTGATCGAGTTGCTGATGATTCAAAAATAGTTCAACCGTGGTGGCCTTTCTGCACTCGCTTTTTATCTTTCCACGCCGCCGCCTCCACATCCTAATGCACTCAACAATAAATAATTCAAATGCATTTCTTCTTGGCCATTCATTATTTGCTAAAAGAAAAATTTATATTATGTTTCCTTGGGTTATCAAGGAGTCGAGCAACTTTCACAGTAGCGGAAATTTGTCTTTGTCACATAAGCATAATAAAGAAGTAAAATTCACTCGGCAACTTCAAAAAAGCTTCGAATAAGAAATAATCTCACACCCAGAGTACTGCGTTAGCATTTGATGCCGTGCCAAAAGGCTTTAAACCTAACAATTTATCAACCAACTATATAATCATAATCACTATACACTTGCGAGTTCCAGTGGTATTTTTTCAGCATATTATTACTGAATTTTATTCCGTTTTTTTTTTAGTTTAACTTTGTGTTTAAAATCAGAGCTAAATTCTCAAAATGTATCATTAATCATTTTAAAAGCGTTCTGTTAAGTTGCAGCCACAAAAAACTTATTTATTTTCTTGTAAAATCAAGTTAATTTTCTGGAAATCTGTACATTTTGATTCTTCTAAAGGTTTTTCTACTAAAATCATCACTGGTTGAAAAATGTCTTTGATTTAGAACTTTCACTCTTTTTCAAATTTGGCTTAGCATTAGTTCAGCATTAGTTAAGTGGCTTTAAAAAATTAAACTTTTTCCATTTATTGTTTACAGATTCATTGCCTTATTTTTAACTCCCTAAAAATCACAGAAAAATTGTCATCGGCTAGAGTTGGCATTCTAAGTGATTATGAAATTTCCAAACTTAACAGTAATTAAATTTGCAGTTTGTAAACATGGATTTGACGAAATAATATATCTTTGTGTGCAAAATTTATTTATTTTCAAATTAGGCGTATACTAAAAATTGCAAAAATAAATGCTGGAAATTTTTTCTCACCAAAGATTAACTCATAAGCTGGTCATAAAGAAAAAAAATCGGTTTATTAAATTTTAAGCTTACTAAACTTTTAACAAAACAATCTGTAAATCTTTTAGAGTCACTCAATTTATGAACTCGTGGTTGAATTACTTGATTTATGCATATTGCAACGTTAAAAATAGCCCGCACGTTTTCCAGCAGCACTTCATGACGAGGATTTGCATTAGTTATGAGAGCGGCACGCACGAAATTATGACCGCGAGACGGCTAATTTGAAATTCAATACGCGGCTGAAAATGGAATACTTTTGGAAGCAGAATTTTATGGCTTTTGTGTCCGCGTCGAAGCTGCTTTTATGTGTCTGCCGAGATTTGGTGAAAACAATAATAATAAAATAGCGCGGGCGGTTCTAATTTGAATACGTCCGGCCACTCGAGCGAACGGCGCAAGTTTTGCAAAGTTTCGAATGTCGCAGGGACGCGGAGAAAAGTTTTTGTCCGGGCCGGGGTTGTGCGTCAGCATCACCGTTCCATCTACCCTCTCGACGCGCACGTGTGCGTGAACGCGCGCGCGGGGGTTGAAATAACGATGGCAGAGTGGAGTGACAGCAGCCATTGTTTGCCCACACACACCGACGACCGAATTCGTTACGAGAGAAAGAGAGACAAAATTCGCCTAAACACACCGTTCAGCAGACGCTTGCGAGCCAAACAAATTATTCCGTTTTCAAGTCGAGTGCTTCTTTTTCCCCGGCCGCACTAAATTTTCCTTCGGATTCGGGCTGCGTGCCAAAATCCAGGGGAGCAGCAGTAATTTCTGCTGCTCGGGGGATGAAAAAAGAGAGGCATAAGTATCTCTTTCTCTCTTTTGTCGACCCGGCGCTGACTGACTGCGCGGAGAAAATTTTTGAGCTGATAGCAAGTTGTGCTCTGCGAGCCAATTTCATTGCACTCCGATTCCTCTGTAAATCTTTCTATTGATAAACAACAAGCTGCAAGAAACGAAAGATGACAGAGAAATGTTTGATTCTTTTCCCAGATTGTTTTCATTTTGCTAAAAGCTAGTCAGTTAAGAGAAAGGGTTATTTAGAAAAATAAGCAATCAAGAAGAATCTCTCTAAATCTAATTTACTTCATCTCAATATTTTTTCCATGCTAACAATTTCTTTTGCTAAACATAGACAGATCAAAATTAATTTTCATTGTAATGCAGCCTACGATTGGAACAACAATAAAAGCTTCTTTTTTTTAAAGGAAGATTAATTCTGTTAAAGATATAAAACATTAGAACAAGTATGTAATTAAATTTGCAAATTTTGAAAATTTCTGAAAATTTGAAATTGTCATGTTATATTATTTTAAAAGTGAATTTAAAGTGAACCGTTTTTCATTTCCTAAATTTTGTCCTTTTTGAAAGATCTTATGAAGATCATATCAATGGATTTTATTTAAATTTCTTGAATATTGTCACCCTCTCGAATAATTAATCATTTTTTTAAACCTATCAAAACAATTTTAATTATTAATGTATTGCAGCAGTGAATAATTGTGTGTCTATTTTTCAGAAACTCACTTTTTTAGTTAATTTTACTTAATAAAATCCAACTTCCACTGTTGCAGAGCTCGTGCACAATTGACGTAACCTACTTCCCATTCGATCAGCAGACGTGCATCATGAAATTCGGGTCATGGACTTTCAATGGTGACCAAGTGTCCTTACAGCTATACAATAACAAAAACTTCGTTGACCTGTCTGACTACTGGAAATCAGGCACATGGGATATTATCGAGGTGCCTGCGTATCTAAATGTGTATAACGAGCCCAACGGTTCGCCCACCGAGACAGATATTACTTTTTACATCATCATTCGTAGGAAGACATTGTTTTACACTGTGAACTTGATACTTCCTACAGTGCTGATTTCATTTTTGTGCGTGCTAGTGTTTTACCTGCCAGCCGAGGCCGGCGAGAAAGTGACACTAGGAATCAGTATTTTGCTCTCGTTGGTTGTGTTCCTTTTGCTAGTCTCTAAAATCCTGCCTCCGACGTCGCTCGTGCTGCCGCTGATCGCCAAATACCTCTTGTTCACCTTCATCATGAACACCGTGTCCATCCTGGTCACCGTGATCATCATCAACTGGAACTTCAGGGGGCCGCGCACGCACAGAATGCCCAACTGGATCCGCGTAATGTTCCTCAGGTATTTGCCTGCCCTGCTCTTCATGCGGCGCCCGAAGAAGACGCGGTTACGCTGGATGATGGAGATGTCCAGCATGAACGCGCCGCCCCACCCGTCGTACGGCTCGCCCGAGCTGCCCAAGCACATGTCCGCCAAGAGCAAGATGGAGGTGATGGAGTTGTCCGACCTGCACCACCCCAACTGCAAGATCAACCGCAAGTCCAGCGGCTCCGGCGTGCCGGACCGCGACCTGCCCGGCTCAGGGGTCGGCGGCGGCGGCGGCCGCCGCGAGAGTGAGAGTTCAGACTCGCTGATCCTTTCTCCAGAGGCCTACAAAGCGACTGAAGCCGTCGAGTTCATTGCCGAACACTTGCGGAACGAGGATGAGTACATACAGGTAGGACAATATTGCCTTTTTATTCAAACTTTATTGATCTAACATTTGGAAAATGGAGTTAATTAATCCAAATTAATGGATCAATAAAATCTACGTATTAAAATTTTTTATTATGCTTACACCCCAAAAAAGGTTTTAGTTTGTCTTAAAAAATTATCAGAAATCAATTTAAAAAAAGGTCCTTCATAGTTATTATAATTTATTAGTTAAAATTAAATCTCATCTTCATAAAGATCAATAAAGATGTGGGTGGTTGAAATTTTTATTTAACGAGAATTGTTCTGTTAAAATGACATTGATGTTTAATTAAAAAAATATATATTATGTAGATTTTTGCATTGGTTTATATATATTCTCAAAAGTATTGTTTTCTCGTTCTTTCCTGATTTTTAATCACCTTACTTTGAATTAGACGCCTTAAAATCACTTTTATTTCAAGATTTAGCATTTCAATCCTTTAATGAAATGAGATTATTTTAATTTTGATCCTCAAAAATGTCATATTTCTGTTATTTTTAATTTAAATTCGGACATCTGTTTTAATAAAAATTAGCATTTAAATTCACTCGCCCTTTCTCAAAAAGCAATAACTCTAATTAAAATTTCCTTTGCCACTTCAACGCTTGCACTCCAAGTTAAGAAGTGTGAACTCCATTTTCCACTTGTCAAATCTCACTGCTCGCCTCGGCTCTGATCGCTCTATGCAAATTTTCGCCGCGCCTGCTTTGCCAAGATCGAAAAAAACTCGCGTGCGTGAATTCACTTCGCTCCCTCTTGAGCGTGGCGCAAGAAGAAGAAGAAGTGTCCCCTAATTCAGAAAACTTTTGCCAGCATCGCCAAACACGCAGCCATCAAAGAGAAACTTGCTTGGCGAGTAAAAAAAACCACCCCTTATCAATATCCAGCGACGTGAAATCGATCTCGGCCGCAGTTTCGCGCGGAAACGTCCCAAAAAGTTTTTCTGAAAAAGAGTTGTTTGGTGCGGGTGGTTGGGTGAAAAATTGCCCGAGCAATCGGCAGCGGCGCCCTTAATAAATTAAATCGGCTTTTTGCCCGGGAAACACCTTTTAAGTCCGGTTAAGAACCACAAGTTGCGGTCATCGGACTTCTTTTTTCAGCCCTGATGAATGCGTTGCGAGGGCGAAACTGCCGTCCGTGTCACCCCTTTCTGCGGCGCGCAAACAAACAGCAGCGAGCCGCCGATTGTCGGGGAAACAAATTCGAGAAGGGTGCCAACTTTTTAGCATTCCATAAATTTTACATGTGGCCGAGAGCGACCGACTGAAATTAAACTCAACCCGGAAACTTTGGCCCATCCTTTTTCTTCTTTTGTGCTCTGGCACGAATCGATTGTGGATTCAAATCAGAGAGGGAGACCGGCGGGATGTGGAGCATGATGAAATTCGTACGAATTAGCTGCTGCACGCGGCCGGGTATTAAAATTTGCAGGCGCTTTCTGTTTATTCGCGGCTCTGCAGAGGCGCTTTTTGTAAGTACGACGGCAGCACACCATAGCAAACCAGCCAGAAGTAATTAGAAAAATTAAAGCTTTTCCAGTAATGAGACTGAAAACGCAAGATAAACGACCCAGTGATGCGTTAATTTTGCGCGAGGACGTGAACCCTCTTCTGATTAGCTCTCCCGCACTCACGCACATCAAGGGCTCTTTTCTATCCTGCTGACACTGAGATTTCGCGGAATCAAAGTAATTTTCAAAGACCCTAGAATTATTCACTTGATTTATCTACCTTATAATGAAAGGCCAATGTACACATTTTTGTTACATTGTTACAACCGAACAGATTTTTAAACATCTTTTAAGCAATTTCAATTATTGTTTTGAATTAAATTTTTACTTTAGATAATTTTCTAATAAAAAAGAACATTTTCATGAAATAATTTAAGCAATATCCGAGGTTATGATATTTGAAGCACACTTGACCCATATTTGTAACGAAAAGATCACTCCAGATGTCTTAGATGGGCAATTTATCAAAGAAACTCGCTATTGTAGTACTAACAATCGACTCAAAATGAATACAAAAAGCGACAACTGGGTTGCTCTCTTCATATTCAATAAGGACGGGGGGTGGCTCTGAAAATCGATACACCACGATACACAGAGGGAGGATATCAAAATACCTATTTTAGATGATGTTTATTTAAACTGAGAAACTAACTCTTCACACAAATATTGAAAGGACAAGTAAAATCCAATTTTTATTTCCTATTCAAGGATATTAGTGATGTAATTTTAATTTCGCTAAAAAATTTGTTTTAACTTTGCTTAATTTAAACAATTTTTATTTTAAAATCAAACTAATCAAAGTAAAAAGAATTATTTCAGGTCTATGAACCAAACGTTTATAGAAAACTTAAGGTTAACAACACGGCTAGACAATCGCAATTCAATTGTTGCTTAAGGCCACTCACTGCTGTATACAAGGAAAAGACACTAAACACTAGTCATCAAGTAATCTGAATATTTTGTTTGCAATTAAATTACTGTGGTGCGGTTTAATTTTTAGCGTTTTACAAAACGATTTCCTTTGAAAAAAAGGGGGTTTTGATGTTTTTAAACCACATTGGAACGTTCGAAAATGAAAATCAATTGACCATTCAAGTAATGAAATTTAAAATTTTTATTCATTTTGAACAATTATTATTTTGCATAAAATTTCACAATCTCAAGTATGCCAGAGGTTTATGTATACAAAGTGTTGGCAGATTTTGCACCCCCTGATGGCATCACCCGCCATGACAAACTATGTTGGAATCGCAGGGCCAGCGTTGCATAATCATGGCTGTCGGCGTTTGTCGCGCCAAGATTTGCTCTGAATGCCAGACATGCACTCATTATGCACGAGAATGGAGTTTGTTTTTAAATACGGTTGAGCCGGGCCGTCTATATGACGAGGTGTATTGTCATCCTTTGAAATGGAAGCAGCCTAGCAGGGCGAAGTGGGTGGGTGGTTGGTTGGCTGCTGCAGCGCCGTACAGCTCTCGCTAATAAACCTCTCCACTCAATGCTCACTACTTTCCACCATTCGTGCCTCGGCTCTTCAAACTCGTCCATTGTAATTTGCCTTAATCAGCGGCGGCACAGCTTTATCTCCACGTACGTGTCTTATATTTTTCTGGACAGAAAATCGCCCAAGGAAAGCGGACCTGCCGCGATCCGAGCTTCGTGCTCGCGGATTCATACAGAATGATTGCCAATTTGATCTTGTTTATTTCGTCACACGGATGCTCCACTTTCAAGGATTTCCGTTGCAGAGACTCGCGGTGCAGCGGCAATCAAAATTCTAGATTGGATCAACTCCTGCTCTAGTTTTATTTGCACGGAAGTAGGAAAATTGCATATCTGGCCTTGTGCTAAAAATTTACTGCTGTTGAAATTAAGTTCCAGCAACTCTTTGGCATAAGTAAATGAAAATTGATGAACTTTTTAATGCGAAATCTCTCTGTAGAAAACACTTCAATCTTAAAAAAATCATTAACTCATTTTTTTTTTACCACAATCATTTAATCATATAATATGAAAATTAGATGCTAATTAATTAATTTTTCAGTATATCCTCTGCAGCAATTCTTTTGAAAAATAAAAGTAGCGAATTATTAAGAATTTCATATTCATACCATATTTTTTTCTGGAACTTTAAAAGGTCTCTCCTTTTTTTGTAATAAATATAAGATCTTTTTTACTATTTTTTTTTAGTACATAGCTAAAAATAATAAAAAAAAAATTGTACCAGCTGGTGCTCACAGCAATCAAATCCGACCGAATCCATCCCCTAAAACTCGTTCCCCGCCGGTCCACAATTTTGCAATATCGGGTGACACGTGTCCGCCGCAGTATCTTCCACTCGTTTTAACCGCAATTTCCATTTACACGGTGAATCCCATTCGAGCCTGGGCTCAATAAGGTCGGAGAATTTGCTCTCCAAACGCAAGTACACATAAGACGCGGCCATAAATTGTGCGCCCAAAAGCGTGGCAAAAATCGACAATTGCAAACGGTGGCGAACCCGCCGCCGCTCTCGCACGGCGATATTGTGCTCGCCAACCGGAACCCCTTTTAAGCCCTGCGCCAAATATTTGGTGTGGAAATCTTCGTTTAAATGGGCTCCTTTTCAAGTTTTGCTCCGCCGTCCCGGCAGCTTTGCGGGAAATACTACATTGTTTAATATAAAATTCACAACTAACCTGCGAAGCAGTACCGTCGGAAACGACTCATAAATTATCTTTGAAACATATTGCAGAACGGCCTTAGAATTTCCTCAAAATAAATTCATATTTTAACAAAAAATTTATGTAAATTATCATGAAATTTTTAGATCGGAATCAAATATTAATAATTTATTTAATTCTTTTTTTATTTGTTTGTACATTGTTTACCTTCAATTATTGAAAACAATTTATTTAAAAAAGGAATTGTTAGACAAAACTGAACCACCAAAAGCAAGAATATTGTTATAACTTCCGAGATCAAAAAGACCCTATCCGCCGCAGTGAGCCTCGGTTTTTGTTCGTATCACATAATTTTTGTCCTTTTTTTTTTAAACATTCTTTGCAAATTTTTTTCACTCTCTTTGTTACAGATGTTTAAATAATTTTTTTTTTAAACTCTTTTTTAATGTAATTAATGATATTTTCCAAGAAGGTTCCTTTTAATGCTATGTCTGCTTTATGGTCCTTCAAGTTTAGAAGTTCTGAATGTATAGGAATAAAGAGTAAATACTCAATCATTCGTTATAACAGACTAAAATAGTAACGATGCAATTGTGAATATTACAATAGTTTTTTTTTTTGACAATTTTCAACAAAATTAGTAATGAAGATTTACTAAAACAATACCCACGGTTTTAGCTTTATCACTGTAGCTGTTAGCACAACAATAGCCACTCAAAAATATTATCATGGTCGCTTTAATATTTTATCCCATTTTTTAACCAACAGAAAATGGCGCATTCTAACAAGGAAAAAATGGTCCATACGGC